CTGTTTGTTGCATGACCTTATGCTCTAGTAAATTCAATTTCGAGAGGAAGAGAATGAGAGAGATAGAGAAAGGATGACTTGGGAGAATTGAAGATTTATCGAGATAAATGGTGATCTGATCACTAGTATATGTGAGAATGCGTCACCTGATACTATTTCCTTATCTTGTTTATTCGACTGGAACTCAAACGTCGGTGAATTGATCTTCTTAAATCATTAGCTACTTTTATTTTCATCTCAACTATCACATAAACCAAGATGATAACTTATCCATTTAACTTTTCATCAGTGAAGTTTACATTTCAAACTCTGTTACTTCATCCATTTTCTAAAAAGTAGTTCACAAGTAGTAAAAGTTTTTACGATGAGTTTTTTGGCAGTTTTTCCCTTATTCATCAAATAATTATCTTTGTTTTCATTGAATTTTATGTCTTCTAATTTATCTAACGTACGTTTAAACTTCTTAACGCAAATAGGGAGAGAAATGATGTCTAACTGTATTCTTTGTTTCTATTGGTCTATACTTCAAGGTATATATTCATCTATCTCACTGATGTACAGTATATATTGGTTTCTAGTTAACTTCTCTTATGATTATGATCTCCACAACATGCATCAATGAAACTGTGGTCATTTGAAGTCTAATATTTAAAAAAGCTGCCTACTCATTCAATGTAAGTTATAATTCTATAATATACTCATATTTTGCATAATTACAAATTATTCTAATCTACTTGTTAATGGCTAGAAAGACGAACGTTTCATTTTCTCTCTGACAATCGTCAGCTGAATGTAATTGTACCCTAGTGTATGATGATGTTTCTACTGAAATTCAAACTAAAAGTCGAAGAATTTAACTTAACTAAATGAATATTATATTCAATAAAATAACATTGTTGAAAGAATCTTCTTGGAAGTCGAATGGGGGGACTAGATAGTTAGGTATGCAGTATATCATTTCTTGGAAGCTTATACAAGCAAGTATTTCTAGTAGAGACCGATATGATGCTTGACTTATACGCCTTAAAAGTAAATTATTAGCCATATGCTTAAAATTCAGTCAATCCAACCAATCTGTTACTGAATGAGAATTTTTCTGTTACATATATTCAATTAACTAATAGGTTAACTGAGTAAGAAATAACACTAAGCAATCACTATTATAAAACTTAAGGATAACTATCCTATATTATATACTACTCACTTGAAGTCAAAAAGTTTTGACCGACTAGGTTCTTACTCACTAACGTAATGGTAGAGTTTCTCCAAGATGATTTGTGGGTGTGTGTGCTGTTGCAAAACTATATGATTAGGTTGACAGAATCCATTCATAGAGACACACTTTTAGTGGTCTCCTAGATGGATTTGATTTGAGTCAACAGTACTCTTAAATTTATCTATCCTTAGATTCTCACTTATGTGTATACTTAGATGTCTTTCATGTGAATGGTTATTTTCGAGGTTGGGAGTGGGTAAGCGGTATTTTGATAGTCTGTAATTAGAATTCCCGGTATACTTTATTCTCTATTAAGGAATTACAGTAGCATTGGTCATTCTGTTGAAAATTTGCTCAGAAATCGTTTTTCTAAGTTTGTTTTGTTTGCCAACAGCACTGTCAACTAGTTTGTCATTGTTTCAGTCCTTGTACTTTAATTCAGCTTATTACTATGTGAAAATTCCACTCGAAAAATAATGTTCATCATATCAGCTTTCAGTAAGAAAACATTATTGTGTATTTGAAAACAGCAAAAACAACAGTGGACGCATCAGCATAAAACAGATCTGTAGTGATGTGAATATAAACAAGGCGCCAACAAAAGTGTAAACCTTGAGTACTATGGTGGGATGTAATTCCATGTTAGATTTGTTTATTTATTATATAACTCATAGTAAGCGATACACTATTATTCACTTGATGACCACATTTCAAGCATAAATTATCATCACTCATACTAATATCCATGTAATGACTTTTATACTCCTGTCACATGTGTCCTATCATTTTATTTTCAGTGATAGTAAAATTTCCCATATCTACGGTATACATGGGTGTTGCATCATCCTTATTATATATGTTGAGTGTTGGTTGTTTCGATAAACAAACATTCAGTAATCAATCTACGTCTCCCTCTCCATCTGATTAGTTTGTTGGACATGAGTATAATGGTTTTATCTCACCCAGACCATTCTCTGGTTGTGTGTTAATCCATGCATTGCAATAGTCGAGTACTTTTCGAGATTACTCATCTTATTCTTGTCTGTTATTCTATATTTAGCTAAATTTCTATGATGTGCTAATCTAAATGACCCCGTGCTAGTTTCATCTATGTACTCGACCTGATTCACAGCCATTACATGGAATTTGGTAGATTACATTATTATTTTACTTGATTGGTTCTGTTGGATTCTTTAGCCATGTGAGGAAGCTAATCTTTGAGTGAGTTTGTAGGTTTAAATACCACTATAATTCTAGATTTGCTGAGAATCCTACGTAAAATTTCTGATGTACCTTCCTTATTGCGTTACACAATGGAAGCTTTGAACTCCTTTCTACTCTTGTTATCATTATTATTCGTACTCGTATTATTGTTATTATTTCGTTTCTTATGTTTTCCAACGAATTTCTTAATAATCTGCGGAGGATAACTATTAACTATTAGTGTTTTTTTTAAGTGCATCAGTTCCTTGTTTAAGTTCTTGCACTGACTAGTCAGTTTTTTGGCTCTATCATCTAGACATCTAACTCGATCTGCCTCAACTGACATTGGATGAGATGACTTGAAGTCTACATACCCGTTGGAATGTGTTGATTTCCCGTAGATGATAGTATTCAAACCACCTTACGTCCTTCATTTTATCCTACAATCCAGCATGGGTAATTCATGTTGTTCATTTGAATTTCGTCCACTACTGAGTTTATATGTATGAAAAAAAGTGGCAATATGTTCCGATTTCAACACAGTAAATTTGTCATCCACACATCGCCATCATACCTTATGTGTACGACTAGACTTTGGTAAAACCATGTCTACCCAGTTGTCTATAAATATATCTGCGACGATTGGAGATATTGGTGATCCAATTACTATTCCTTCTGCCTGTCTATATATTTTATCATTAAATTTGAAGACTGTGGAGGTCAAGCACAACTGTACGCTCAATATGATTTCAATCTAGAGGTATTGTCTGAATATTATTAATTGCCTTAAAATAGCTGTCTTCACAACGTAACTTAGAAGCAAGAAATGTTACTCGAATAATACCATAGGACTAGTATTCAGTAGCACTGTTTAAGTTGTAGTCTGTTTGGTTGTTAGCAGTGAAATTCAGGACTTGTGTTTTCTTCTACCTTGGATTGGTCAGCTGAATGTGCCTACACCACATTGAGTGACGGTATTTCCTTTCAGACTCCAATCACATACCCATCGCTTCAAACACCAAGGCATTACCTGCTAGGCTACTAGTGAATAACAGTAAGATAAGTATTCATTCTTTTGTACTGCGTTGTAGCATATTCATGTCGAATTGAAGTAAATGTTCATTAAAGTTTGTTTTGACTGCAATTCATGATAAACAGAGTTAATTACATATTATGTTTTGATATTCTGTGTAGGCCGATGACAAGATGAGCTTAAAAATAGCACATCTACCGCATGGACACTTCGTTCATGAATTGACTATCACCCAGTTTATGTATATATACTAGCAGTAAATTTCACTGTCTCCTGTCATCTTAAAGGTTAGGTGATTTCTTTAAGTAAATTTTGTGATCTTATCTACATGACGATCAAATAAACGGTTGTCATGTGAATTGCTTAGTCAGCTGAGAGGAAAGGTGTTCATAATCAAGTCATGGATACTTGACCTATGAGGTAAAACAATGGAGGCTGAGAACCTTATGAGAAATGTACATCAGAAATTTTACGTAGGATTCTCAGCAAATCTAGAATTATAGTGGTATTTAAACCTACAAACTCACTCAAAGATTAGCTTCCTCACATGGCTAAAGAATCCAACAGAACCAATCAAGTAAAATAATAATGTAATCTACCAAATTCCATGTAATGGCTGTGAATCAGGTCGAGTACATAGATGAAACTAGCACGGGGTCATTTAGATTAGCACATCATAGAAATTTAGCTAAATATAGAATAACAGACAAGAATAAGATGAGTAATCTCGAAAGTACTCGACTATTGCAATGCATGGATTAACACACAACCAGAGAATGGTCTGGGTGAGATAAAACCATTATACTCATGTCCAACAAACTAATCAGATGGAGAGGGAGACGTAGATTGATTACTGAATGTTTGTTTATCGAAACAACCAACACTCAACATATATAATAAGGATGATGCAACACCCATGTATACCGTAGATATGGGAAATTTTACTATCACTGAAAATAAAATGATAGGACACATGTGACAGGAGTATAAAAGTCATTACATGGATATTAGTATGAGTGATGATAATTTATGCTTGAAATGTGGTCATCAAGTGAATAATAGTGTATCGCTTACTATGAGTTATATAATAAATAAACAAATCTAACATGGAATTAAATTCTACCACGGTACCCAAGTTATAATATCTTCAAATAGAACGATAATCATCTTCAAATTTGGTTGTGATAATATTTAACTCTTAAGAAACCTTTTAAACAATAAATCATTATTGAAACGCATAGAGTCTTGGGAAAGAATTACTGAAGAAACGTCATAACTCATCAAATAGGCTTATTCTTCCTTATAATGGGTTTATGGAATTAACTCTCATCGAAGTGATTTATTAATTGGAATTCGAATGTTATTCTGTATTGTTCAATAAATAGTCTTTTCTTCAATGATATACTCCATCTCTGATATTATAGTATGTTGTAAATTATCTTTAGACTATACATATTCTAGCAATAGTTAATCTATTTATTTATTTTACTTTAATTACCTAAATGGATTCAAGTAATTACATTCAAAGAATAGCCTTTACTTTGCAAAATGTGTGGAACTGAAGCATTGGACTATCAGTATCGTAGTCTACAAATCAATAAAATGGAACAAATTATTGGTCGAATGAATTCTAAAAAATCTGGAATAATTTATGAGTAAAGTTATACTTTATTTATTTTAGAAAATTGTTTTGCATATGTTTATCTATTTAGAAATAATGGAGTATATTTGTAGCTCAGGTGGATGGTCCTTGTTGTATTGTGTTGTTTGAGCTGGGTTATTTAATCGTGAAGCTTTCATCATCTTTCTAGACACTGACATCATCAACACTAACTTCAGTATAATGTGTGCTATCAATATCTCTCCGTCAGTGATTCTGTAGCTTGCTCTGACAAAGTGGTCTGTGATTGGTTGTTTCCTCCGATTGTTGTGTCATTGACTGACTGAATAGATTTTCCTGTTGGCTGTTCCTCTTCTTCACCTCTGACCTTTATGTCGTTCATCATTTTGCTCATCGGTTGATAGATTGGGTCTATGTCTATACATCTATTTGTGTTCATGTAGACGAAGGTGAAGAGGGAGACCACTTTGTCCAATGTAGTGTTGACTTCAGTTATTGCAGCTGATTTTGTAAATCAAAGTGGTCGCCCTCTTCACCTTCATCTACATGAACACCAATTGACGATTAAACATCACACACAACATTTCATCACTCATTTCAATTCACGTGGATGACAGCGATAGACATGAATTCAATTTTGACAATGTAGAAATCTTGGATGGAGAGAGGCAACATAACGAGTATCAGATAATTCCTACAAGCTTGACATTCACGTCAGTCAGTCAGTCAGTCAGTCAGTCAGCAATCAATAGATGTATAGACATAGACCCAATCTATCAACCGATGAGCAAAATGATGAACGACATAAAGGTCAGAGGTGAAGAAGAGGAACAGCCAACAGGAAAATCTATTCAGTCAGTCAATGACACAACAATCGGAGGAAACAACCAATCACAGACCACTTTGTCAGAGCAAGCTACAGAATCACTGACGGAGAGATATTGATAGCTCACATTATACTGAAGTTAGTGCTGATGATGTCGTCGAGAAAGATGTTGAACGTTGCGTGAGTGAGCTCAGGGAACACAATACAACCAAGTCTATCTATTTATTTACTAAACACTTTTTTCTCTTATAGATTTCAACCTGATCCATTTCTGAATTTAGCTTTCAAAGGTGAAGCCTTTGTTAACTGGCTTCAAGAGAATATACCAACCTCTGATGAACATGAAGCAATGCATTTGGCTAACTTGTTTCTATTCTATGGATATATATTTCGTCTTACGGAATCGCAACATCCTTGCTTTCAACTTAAGAATAACCATTGGTATCGATTTCAAGTTAGTTCCTTCTACTTAAAGCCTATATATATATATATATATATATATATATATATATATATATATATATATATATATATTAGTTATTTAAACCACGTATTACAAGGCTGGAAACAAAGGGCACTCAGCCAAGATGTATCTTCAACCTAGAGGGGAACTTGCATCACCCAGTGCTGCAGTTAGACATCTAACTAATGAGGTGCTAACATCGCGACTAATCCTCTCTGGGACTAAATGAACCAGACACGTTGGTCGGTCATTGGAGAGTGACCAACTTCATATCGTCAATTCCCAACTGCTGACAGAACTCTTCCGATCATTTCGTGATTTACAACCAAGCTAAAAGACTCAACATTGTGATGAATTTTAGCTGGTTATAGGCTATTAGTCGAAAACCTTGCGTTGTCTAGGTTTCCTTAGATTCCCTGTTAGATTCAGACCCATATCACGCAGTACTTGAGTCAGATTGTTTGTAGTTAAGCAAAGCAGTAGCAAGTTCATCGGTGTATTTTATACACTCATTTAAATAGAAACTAGATGGCTGATATGCCTATTAAGTTCAAAGCCTGAAAACACAAATCATGACATAATTTTTTAAAAGGTGTTTTCCATCAAAACTCAACCCTCAAGTGTTTTCAACATCCTTTCCTTGAAATGGGATGCCAAGATGATTCAGCCAATAATGATCACCTACGTTACTGTCAGTACCGACTACAAGATTGTGACACCGGTTGTCAAATACAACTCAGAGTTGTACATATTTGAATGAAAATCTTTTCAAAGCTTTGCTAAACATCCCACCATTATCTTTCCTACAAATGTTGGTAGGTTGGAAACGAACCCCTTAGATATGTTCCAGGTTTCTATTATAATAAATTTGCTAACATTTTCAAGTATACGATGCAACATGTTGAATGAGTTGCTTTATCTAAGGAAGAACAAGATACAACCACAATAAATTCTTCACACTATTTCCACTCCTAAAAAACTGAAACGTGATATCAATTGCTTGTATAATACAGTAGGTGATTGGACCGAATTGATAGTTCTCTATTGGCAGATGGACTCCTGTGAGAATACCTTGATATTACCTGTATTTTTTAATTATAGTAAGGATGGATAATATCTAGAAATGGAATCCAGGATGCGCATTTCATCTTATTTGGGACTCGTCAGCTGGATGTACCTGCCTCACAGTGATTGACGTTGTTCCCGTCCCACGAGAAGTGGCTATCGTGGCTCGGTGGTCTAGTGGATAACACTCTGTCGTTTGAAGTGATCGGGCCCGAGTTCGAACCCCAGTGGAAAGAACATCAGTCGCTGAGAGGCAAGTACACCCAGCTGACGAGTCCTAAGTATGACGAAATGCGTATCCTGGACCCCACTACTGGCCACTATCCATCATAACTGTGATATCAATGATTTCAGTTAAGTTAGAAACACAGACACTGAAGAATCTAGTAGACAGTAAATATTATTCGAATATTACATGACAGCAGAATATGCATAGTTGAGTTAGACTTCAATTGTACAATGAATTTACATTGACGATGATGTCTAACTTGGTAATGATGCATTTATCAGCTATAATTCTAATTCCAAGTTGGTATTCATCACGGACTGACATCATTTGGCAAATCACTAACAGCCTTGGAACAATGGATGGCTGTTTTTTATTAGTATGGGACGACTCAACACAGCCCAACCCCAACCTCAAAGCCAATAGAACCCAGGAAAATCAGATTTCGTGATGAGCACATTATCACCAAGCCACTGGATCAGAATCCAATGGTCCTCGCTAGTGACTTGCTTCAAGATGAGATTCAACCAGGTTCTAATGAAACATCGTGACCAACGCTGCAAACCATTTCGGACATGAAAACGAATACCCAACAATGGAATTCAACGGTGGTTTCACTATACTGTGAAATGATAGAAGTAGGAAAATGTGCAGTAATGGTCCAGTAGCTCAATCGTTATGTGGTCGCCGCGAGTTCTGATATTTCTGTGTTCGACCACTAGTGAGGTGGTGGGTGCATACTACTCAGGGGTCCTATAATATGACGAAATAGATGTCCACTGTTTCCAGGTTTTCACTCCGTGATGATTAAATCTCGACAAACCTCCACAACTGAGAAATCTTAAATTCCCAACGGAACTCAAGATGTCATCGATCTTTGAGAAAATTGTTTCTAAGCCTTACGCTATGTATCTCGGTTGTATTGCGTTCACTGAGTTGAATTGTTTAATCGTGGAGCTTTCATCGTCTTTCTAGACACTGACATCATCAACACTAACTTCAGTATAATGTGAGCTATCAATATCTCTCCGTCAGTGATTCTGTAGCTTGCTCTGACAAAGTGGTCTGTGATTGGTTGTTTCCTCCGATTGTTGTGTCATTGACTGACTGAATAGATTTTCCTGTTGGCTGTTCCTCTTCTTCACCTCTGACCTTTATGTCGTTCATCATTTTGCTCATCGGTTGATAGATTGGGTCTATGTCTATACATCTATTGATTGCTGACTGACTGACTGACTGACTGACTGACGTGAATGTCAAGCTTGTAGGAATTATCTGATACTCGTTATGTTGCCTCTCTCCATCCAAGATTTCTACATTGTCAAAATTGAATTCATGTCTATCGCTGTCATCCACGTGAATTGAAATGAGTGATGAAATGTTGTGTGTGATGTTTAATCGTCAATTGGTGTTCATGTAGATGAAGGTGAAGAGGGCGACCACTTTGATTTACAAAATCAGCTGCAATAACTGAAGTCAACACTACATTGGACAAAGTGGTCTCCCTCTTCACCTTCGTCTACATGAACACAAATAGATGTATAGACATAGACCCAATCTATCAACCGATGAGCAAAATGATGAACGACATAAAGGTCAGAGGTGAAGAAGAGGAACAGCCAACAGGAAAATCTATTCAGTCAGTCAATGACACAACAATCGGAGGAAACAACCAATCACAGACCACTTTGTCAGAGCAAGCTACAGAATCACTGACGGAGAGATATTGATAGCTCACATTATACTGAAGTTAGTGCTGATGATGTCGTCGAGAAAGATGTTGAACGTTACACGAGTGAACAGCCGAGCTCAGAGAACACAAAGTAACCAGGATTATCCACCTAAGGTACAAATATTCTCTACGCTGTATATCATTTGTTTATTTGTTTATTTCACTTTCTTTTCTAGGCCCCATTTTACTGGATATCTAATATATTAAAACCAAATGATTTAGACTATGCGGTATATCTGATGAAAAGAAATTTTAAAAAGGGTGGTTTCGATAAAGATGACCCTGAAGATGATATATTTCAACAATTATCCAAGTCATTAGCTGATAAATGGAAAATTATTGAACTACAAGCAGTTGAACAAATACGCTTAGAACGTAAACGTGATGAAACCGACAGAAATATATTGAACCTACAGGTACTTACTGTTTTAACCAGTATAAACATACAACTAATGGTTATTTCTACCTGGAAATTTAGTATCTTAGATGAAAAATTCCTACACTTTTTCCGTTCACATTTCTAAAACTATGTTACGCACTGATAGGGAGAGATTTGGGCTGACTATTTCTTATGGTTTACCAACTAATTTCTCGGTTTTTATGTAACGATATATCACTGAAATAGACTTCAGAAGGTTTTTGGTGACGATTCTAATAAAGAGGAAAGTGAAGACTTTTCACTGAAGTCTTCAAGCTTACAAAAAGCAATACTAAATTCATCAACCTGATCTACAAGTGTTCAGTGTGTTATTGATCTACTCGTCCATTAAACAGTGATAAGATTTGGTTTGAAATCTTGCCAGCTGGTTCCTTGCTGATTGGCTCTTACCAGCAAGGTGTGTCTACAACCTTCAAATCATATGCTAAGCGATCAGTATTATATTGATCTCAAATTAGTATTCATCACAGACTGACATCAATCGGTTGGAGAAACCTGTCAAACCTTGGAGAACCGGACAGTTGTTTCATCCTAGTGCAAGACTCCTCCGGAGTATGCACCCGTGCCCTCCTCCCGGGGAGTGGACCAAGAACCCCCAAATTCTGCAACCAACACCTTACTATTAAGCGGCGGGGTCAGAATCCAGTGTTTTAATTTTCCTAGTTCTGCCAGTTCATGACATCGTGCAATCTTAATTCGATGCCATCGTTGAGTATGATGAAACATCTATCCAGGGCTTCAAGGTTTTCCATGATTCTCTAAATGATGTCTGTCCATGATGAACATCAACTTTAGATCAATAAAATAAACCCTCACATACTTCTGAGCTGAATCAACGTTATAGTTCAGAATGTTATCAATGACCTGCATAGGCAACAAATTACCTCTCAGCTTCAAGAACTTGAATTATCTGAGGTTGTTAAGCCCAGGAAAATCTTCGTAATTTGTCACAAATTTGTTAATTGATAGTATATAACATGAACAGTATCTGTGTTGACTTCATTTTAGGTGGATGTCTAAAAAACCTTTCACACAAATACACTGAAAATAATTCTGAGTCTTACAGTGATATGTATGACTGTAAGGTTGAAACATGATGAACCTAAGCGTATTACCACATGGAGCTGTTTACTACCACATCAAAATGACGTTGGCTAATATGAGACTAATGAGTCTGGTAGGAAGGTTATCAAGTAAAACAAAGGAAAACACCATCATTTATTGATTAAGAAGTTTCTAATCTGTGGTCATTTCGCATTTACTACAGTTAAAGCTTGAAGGTTAAATGCTTCTAGATGATCAGCGACATTTTCAACATCTCCCTTCATTTTTATTGATGCGAACCATAATGAAGTGTCTGATATGGCATAGAAAGCTATATGAACCCTGAAGTTTCACTAAATAGCCTTCTATAGGACATACTTTTTTATAAACCAACTTTGAACTTCGTACACAAATGCATCGATTCAAGTTGCCACACTTCACTGTGGTGGACGGAAAAAGATTCACATCAAAGTACATGAAGTTGTGGGGCAGAAGGCAAATGTTAATGCAAGTATTCAAGCTTTAGAAAACACCAAGGAGTGATTACATTTGCCTCATATTGACCGATATTTAGTTATGTTACCAAGCGTACTCAACAACTGATTCCTTTGGTCTTGAGGACCCCAGTCAGGGACCTCATGTACTGGTGTCACGTCTCAGTTTGGCTGAACCATGAACCCTCTTCCAACCCAATCCAGCGTCCCCTAGCATGGATCACTGAGGTATGCGTTGGCTCAGCATGCTCAGTGCACTTCCAAGCCATTTCAGTCGACTAAGGTTCACAACGTCATCAATCGACTTGCCTATCTTGTCTAGTATCCTTCGCCTAACTTCACATTGCTCACACAGTGAATCCACTAAACGTGAGAAATGCTACTAAGACATCTATGATCAAAACTCTGTAGTCGGTTACGTCGGAGAACTCAGCCGTGATACTGATCACTATCAAGCGAAAAACATTGCCTGTTTGATAATATTTTAAAGGAGGACAGTTACTTTTTGATCTGCTTATATATAATTTCTTTTGTTTCACAAGTAAACAATCAAACCTAGTTTGGAGCTTCGAAGAGATTGATTGATTTTCAGGTAGTATTCACCAGCGACACTGAATAGCTATTTCTTCTTGTATGAGAGTCGTCGGCAGTACACACATCTGACTGGATCCCTGATGGGGTAGTGTTTGCGCACTAATGAGGAGTCCCGTGATAGAACTAGTGGTTTTCAAATTAATGTGAATACTACGTGGAAATCGGTCAATCCTGACAAACCTTTTAGTTGAATTGCTGTCCAGTCTTCACTAATGACATGTTTCTAGATGGATTTTCCGAGTTTCGAATGACAGGCTAAAACCTGCAGGATGAACTAAGTCGAGTGTGACAACAAATCCTCGTCGATGGCATTGGATGACCGTTGAATCTGGGATTAGTGATTTTATGATAAAGTGTTCACTTCAATACATGAAGGTTCTCTTTCTGATCCCTGCTGGTGTTATGAGTACGCCTCATCGAAGATTCATATAACAGAAAGAAGTAACTGTGTGATACCCTCAGATTTTAAGTGGTTCTCAAACTGAATAGATTCATTAACTTTCGAAAACTTTCTTCTTTTCATCTTTCAAGGAAAAGGCATTTTGGCGAATACATCGTCCACCGAAGCATGAAAAATATAGGCTAACTGATCCCCCATCAAGACATTTTACGCATAAACAAATGCAAATTCGACAAGAACAATTAAGACGTAAAACGATGCAAAAAGAAAAATTTTTAAAAGGTGAGAAACATCTGTTTGATAAGTTTTTCCCACTATGCTCCCCAAATGCATAACTTCTATTATGCAGTTTAGAAGCAGAATGAACAGAAGTTAAAAGTTTCTCTCTAATTTACCAAGAATGGAAAAAATAATTGAATAAGATATCTGAAGTGTTGTATAGACTATCTGAGTAAGGATTCATTCAGTAAACTGGTGTCGATGAACATAATGATACTTCAAGTTGAAAGAAAATATGGGTCATGTGAGAATTCTATAAAGCGATATTTTGAATCCTGAACAGATTGAAGTCTTTTCACAGCTTCAACTATAATTTCTTCATACTTAATTTTGTTCTATTTCTTAATTCAAAAACTTTTGCATATCCAAGTTATAAAGCTAGTTAGCTATAGCCTCCTTGATTATTTCGTTAACCGATACCATTTAATGTTTGGTGGTTAAGGAAACATGGATATTTTGAGTTCATAAGTAATCTTTGTTACAAAATTCATAGTGGTAAGAAACGTCATCTACTACTGTCTGTTAATTGTCCTCAATATTTCAACATGAAGCAATTGTCATTCTAACTATGACAATCTGGGTATAGTTTTCATCCATACTACACATTCATTGAAGGTTGTGTAACAAATCATTGTTGTTATTCATCATAGACTGATATCAGTTGGAGGAACAAAGGAAACCTAGGAGCACGAAACAGTTGTTTCCTCCTACTGTGAGACTCTTCAGTAGTGCGCATACACGACCCCGCACCACCAGGTATCGAACCCGTGACCTTCAGGTTCCGTGCTCAACACGTTACCACTGAGCCAGTGAGTCAGAATCCAATCGTTCATATTTCCAACTTCTGTTAGCTCATGATATGGTGCATCCACCAAGAAATGTTATCGTTGAGTAACTATCCTCATGACCATCAGGCTTTGCCTCTATTCGGTCATGACTTGCGCTATATCATGAGCAGTAGAAGTTTAGCGTTCTCTGAGCTTTGATATATTATTTAGAATGTTTCATCATCAAGCTTATCAACGTTATCATCGATAACTTTATCATGAAGTGAAGCATGTTCAATGGTTACACTGATGATGACAAAGTGTTTTTAATCCCACACTAGAAGGTCATTACTTATTGGATCAGATTTTGAGCAGACTCTGTTGCTTATTATCACATCAAGATAGTTGTACAATTTTCTGGTTTACTTTTCAGAGTTATGGTACTTTTAGTGTGATTTGATTTTATTGGTAGTAGACTTTTTCATAGAACTGAAGTAAGTGTTGTGTCATTCCTGTGACATACAATACTTGAGAAGGTTGTTATTTAATTGATAGTGGTTAGCAGTAGAATCCAGGATGCATGCTTCGTCTTATTTCAGACTTGTCGGATGAAAATATCTTCCTACCAGTGAGTGAGTGAGTGAGTGAGTAAGTGAGTGAGTGAGTGAGTGAGTGAGTGAGTGAGTGAGTGAGTGAGTGAGTGAGTGAGTGAGTGAGTGAGTGAGTGAGTGAGTGAGTGAGTGAGTGAGTGAGTGAGTGAGTGAGTGAGTGAGTGAGTGAGTGAGTGAGTGAGTGAGTGAGTGAGTGAGTGAGTGAGTGAGTGAGTGAGTGAGTGAGTGAGTGAGTGAGTGAGTGAGTGAGTGAGTGAGTGAGTGAGTGAGTGAGTGAGTGAGTGAGTGAGTGAGTGAGTGAGTGAGTGAGTGAGTGAGTGAGACCTGAAACTCCCACTCATCACTTCAAACGGCAGAGGGTTATTCACTAGTCCATTGACACTAGTTTTACAAGAAAGAAGTAGGTCTTGATTATTACACTGGACCGAATTAACCAGCCATTCTTCCACTGGTAAAATAGACCCATTTATGCATAAATAAGAAGAACAAGGTTTTTGATCAGGAGTATTTTTTCTCAATGGCTTTCCAATATGTGTTTCGCCTTCACTTATCAAAATATCAATTTGCATGTATGTGTAAGCACACCTACATGGAGAGAAGCAATCGTGACATGCAGTTAAAAAATGGTAGAACATATGCCTAAATGCCTCCAGAAACAAATAACCTCTAATAATTTAATAAATGTAGGTCTTCCTCATCGATCGCGTAAGACTTTCCAATCATTGTACAGTATTACTATTTTTCCCTTCACTAGCACGTCGCCATTTCACTCTCTTCTCTGCACTCCCCACAAACTTTCATTTCTTCCTCACACCATCTCCTCCATGTCACCATCGGTTCGGAAGCCCAACTTCTCGTTTCCCATTCGACTTCCACTCGACGGCCTGACCTAGCGTGTATTGTTCCCGAACGGTCTTCTCAGTTTATACCAAATCCAATCCATCTCCACTTCCTTCCTCTGAATATTTGTTGGGCAATGGGTTCTTAATTGGTTCGTTGCCAGCCAGAACTCCTCCTTCATTATTCTTATTATTCTGGTTATCTGATCTGATCTTCATTATCGAGCGTAAATAGTACCTGCTGTCCGTAGTTTGTTAGACATGCTTTTCGTAACGCTCCAAGTCTCCCAACCATCACATAGAAGCACTGACTTGATTGGATTGGCGTTGAAAATCCGGATCTTCTTCACGCTTTATACTGAGTGCAGTAGATCTCCACACTGATTTCAGGTTAATGAGAGTCTGTCTTTAGTTTTTTCCATCCTGACTTTAACATCCTCAATTATGCCGGCACCTGTAGTTGAAACGATGCTGCCTTGACTGGGTAGGTGAAAGAGACTACTTCCTATAGGTTTATCCCACTGATGGTGATCGTTGCTTGCTGTTGTCGTTGTTGTTGGTGGTGGTGATGGTTGGGTATCTTCATCACCTCTGTCTTCTCTACGTTCACTAGAAGTCCTGTTTTCGCTGCCTCTTCTACCAATTTGTTAATTTTTCTCGTAGATCTTCGAGTTTGTGCGATATCAGACACAAATCATAGGTAAAATTCAAAGCTTCTAAAGTCGTTTCATCAGTCCAGCATATGCCCCTCTTCTCGCTCCTCTTGATTTGCTACTTGATCCACTCGACCACATTCAGATAAATGCACCAAAAACTTTTTACGCAATATGCATATGATATATTTGATGATGAGGGGGGATGGGTTCAGGTGGGTGAAAAAGAAAAGGAATCACTGAAGAAAGAGAGTTTGTTTATTGATACTCGTAATTTACCGTTGATACACTGCGTCGAAATGCTCGACGACTAGTAGCAGGTGACCTTCTGTGCGGATGACTCACTAAGGCCTGGATACTAATTATATTATAGTCTATTTGATGGCTAACACTGAAATCCATGATCTGCGTTTCGTCCTATCTGGGACTCATCAGTTGAGTATACGTACACCCCAATGAGTGATGTTGGCATTTGAAACTGTGGGAACTGAGTTCGTGTATCAATGAGAACAATATTACTCTCTGTGGTGCAGATACATCCAGCTAACGAGTCCCTAGAAGGACGACAAATATGTCCTAGATTCTACTGCTAGCCATCAACAAGACAGTAATAACTTTGTAAATTTCCCTAAAAGATGGATCTAGAGCAGGTGAGTGGTCTAATTCCATCAGGCTTTCATAAATGAATAAAGTTGTTCTTCACTAGCCTTTAGTTAACGAAGTCATTCTGCAAAGCGTTTTGGGGAGGGTCCGCTTAACAAGTTCAACATAAAGTTTCAGTTTGTTGCTGTTTGCTTGGACATATATGTCTTCGAGTGGAATGCAAGGCATGCGTTCTGTTCTATTCGAATACTATCAGCTGTTATCAACAGGAGACTGGAAGCATGATATTTTTCCTACAATAGGTACTAGTCATGACTTACTGGCCTGAGAGACAATACTTTAAGATTTGTATTGATGAGTGCTCAGCCTGATTCCTGATAAAGACACCATCATTCATTGAAATACAGGTACATCCAGTTGATGAGGCTCAAAAAAGACTGGACGTGTATCATAAACTTCATCGAAGTGAAAGTGTTTGAAAACAAACTTACCTCTTACCTTTAATTACTAGATACTAACTTTATGACTTCATCATAGCAAGTTAATGAATTATATTGAAATATTTTTTGATAAATAATTTAGACATAATGAATCAAAATTCAGAACAAGATGTTAATTCAGCATTAGCTCAATTACAATTGGATAGAATTACTTTACCAAATCCACAAAGAAGTGATAAGAAGTCTTTAGACTCCCTTATACTTTATACTACAAATCATTTAATCTATGATAATCTATTAAATGGAGATTCAATGGACAACTGTTGGTTTGCTTCTGAGAAAGATACAACTGCATGGGTAGAAGATAGTGTTGTATGCTCACAAACAGATACAATTGGACCTGCACCCTATCCAACACTGAAACGAGTAAGTATTTACTACTTGAAAACAACTTGTTAAGATAAATTCAGTTGAAAGTTAACAGGTAATGATGGATTTCAAAACAGATTACTATTATGAAATAACATTAGTTCGAGAAACATCAAAAATTGAAAGAACTGAACCTCTGTTTCTATCTACTTTGGGAATTCTAAGTAGTATTTACCTCTGACCCTGTGAATGACCGATTCCTGGATGTTCAGGACTCAGTGACTTGACAAGAAGTTACTGGTCTACATCTTTCTACTTCTGAAAGTTTTAAGTTTTAAAGAAGCACCAATATCTTGCATAAATCTAAGGTGAATTAAGTCTTTTTTGCAGCAGAATACGTGAATACCATTCCTGTAACAGTCAGTCGTTAGGCAGGATTAACATGAGATAACTTATGTGACTGCTTTCTAGTAGATTCTCTGAAATGTGAAAGGATTTCTAAAGTGAACCACATGTTCAAATGGTTTAACTCAGCGAAACGACGTTGTTTAAACGCATGAATAGCTCTTTACTATGCCTTCTAATTATCTGAATAACTACTACGAGCTAAGAACCACGTAACACATATTTTAATCTTGTTTGAACCTATTCAACAGTGTATAAATTTAGCTACTTTTAAAAAAATTCTCTTTGATTTTGACGCTTTACTACATAGACGAAACCTTCCGCAGATTCACATGCACAAAAGTCAGCAGTAAGGATAAACCAGTACCACCTAGTCATATTTGATGAATTTATACCACGAGTTAATTGTACCTTAAAAAATACATGAACTTTTTTTCTCTGATTTAGTATGTTGGACCTGACAACCTAACTTTTCGCCTCTACTCCTTTCAAAAGGCTATGCAAATACTTTGTTGGTTGACTTCTTTTCTATGGATGCAGTAAACTGAGTTTACTTCACTAGGATTGGTTAACACTTTCTGCTGGTATGAATCTATGAAAGTCACTTAGATGTAATTGGTTGACTCATGACCCAAACTTTTCATTTAACCTTCAAATTATCATCCGGGATCAATATTAGTCTACCAAACCATGTCTATCTCAGATAGTCAAAATGATATTCTGTATTTAATAAAGGTGTCCTTTTTTATTGATTTGTTAAGTGCAAGTGTTTGGTTAGATATATGTGAATCATTGTGATTGGTCATGTCAAATGCTTCTTTGCATTTGGATCCGTTAGTTCATGTCATTGGCTTGTTTTAAATGAACTTCTTTATTGCACCAATAACCATATATTCAGCGAAAACATCCTTTTCAACGAATTTTTCAAGCTTTACATTCGTGAATATATGTTACCAATTAGGTATGGCCACTTAATTGAAAGTGGCATATTAGCTGTTAATTAGACTATAAATTGGCATTATTTTCCGACTGCCTGAATCCTTCTAATTGCTCCCTTTTAAGTATATTTTCGCCATTATTACTACTGTTTGCCCCTTCAGTTCCTAGTGGAACATAAGGATTCACTAACACATCACTATTTCACTCTCTTCTCTCAAGTCTTCCCAACCTGGCTCCACCACTCCCCACAACCTTCGATTTCTTCCTCACACCATCTCCTCCACACAACCATCGGCTCCAACTCCCAACTCCTCGTTCCCCATTCCACTTCTACTCAACAACCTGGCCTCACGCCTGAAGTCACCAATCGGTCTTCTCAGCATATCCTCAATCCAATCCATCTCCACTTCCTTCTACTGCATATCTGTTGGGCGACCGATTGTTGCTTGATTCGTTGTCAGCCACACACAGCTCCTCCCTCCTTATTCTTGTTATTCTGGCCACCCATCTGATCTCCATCTTCAGTATCCAGTGAGCGTAGGTGGCAGCTGTTCATGTGATGTATGTGTGCAGTTTGTTGGAAATGCTTTACGTGACGTGCCGCCAAGCCTCTCAATGATCACATAGAAACGCTGACTTGATGTTGGTGTTGAAAATCTGGATGTTGTTCACACTTTGTGCTGAGTTGAGTTGAGTTGAGTGGAGTGCAGTGCAGTGCAGTAGATCTCCACACTGATTATTTCAGATTAATGTAGGAAGGCCTATCTTGCTGTTTTTCGGATCGTGGTTTTGTCGTGCTTATCTGTGCTGCCGTCACCACTGCTGCTGCCAGTATTTGAATCGATGCTGTGTAGGCAGGTGGGTAGGTGAAAGAGACAACTTCCTTTAGATTTCTCCCGTTGACTGTGATTGATGCTCGTTGTTGTGTTTGTAAACACTACCTTCAAACACCAGGTCATTAAATGCGCGGAGGTCTACAAACAGTTCTCCATTCTCGTTCATTTCACCGAGTGCCTCTTGACCCATGATTGGTTCCCCACATATGCTGTCCGCTCCCAGTTTGGCATTCATGTCACCCACTAGAATTTTGATTTCGCAAAGTGGGGAGGGGCCTTGTCCAGCACTGATTACTGTTGTCTGTAGAATTTCTCCTTCTTCTCTCGATCTGCATTATTTGTAGGTGCATAGCAGTGGCATTGTATGATTGTGACTTTCCCTGCTTTTCAGTTGAACCTTGCTGTCTTGATCCTGATCCTGCAGGAGGAGATTGGCTCCCACTGCATGGGAAAGAGCTTTCGATGCTCTTGGGGACATCATGATAGCCACCCCAATACTCATTGGGCTCGTCGTTGTTGTCTATATGACAATATCGGAGTAGATTATTGACTCTGTAGTTGACAGTTTAGAAAGTCGACTTCCATTCCATCTCCTTTCACAGATTCCTAGCCTAGCACTTCTATAGTATATCTTCTCATTTCTTTTTGAATCTGGGCAGCCTTGCTAATTTCGTGCATGTTACGGACATTCCATGTTCCCATCCTTATTTTCGCTTTCATCGAGAGAAGACACATCAGCCGATCGGCTTCCCAAAGGCTTTCACCAACCGGCGTCATTTCGCCTCTCCGATCCCAGTGAGGAATAAGTTTAATTTTATGTTTTATATTTTCTTTGTGCTTTGAAATTGCTTTAGCGATTGGATGGGTTTTACGAGGTAGGGTTGCTAGCCCTATGCTCAACCTTCACTGTTTATCCAGGCTTAGGACCGGCTAGTAATTAGTGAACTAGTTAACCAAGCAAGGTTATATATTCCCTAGTTTCAGGAGATCTTACTCTTCAAAAACTTAAAGTACACACCCATTATTTCTTTGAAACATTACTCTTCATTTATATTTTAACTATATTCTGCAATTGAAAGAAAATAGATTCTTATTTAACCTATCTCCACATAGATTTAGGCAGGTTGAGAAAATATTTGAAAAATACAATTACGTTGATTATTATTATTTATCAGTTCAAATAATTGGTTTTTGCACGCATTTCGAAGTATAAACCTCAATAGACAAGTGGGGAAAAAAAGGGATGTATGAATTATACAATAATTAATTACATCTGGAAATAGTCACTTTAAAGTTATCTCCTAGTTGGATGTTAAGGAAACGCCTTAAGGTGTAAATAGTAAATACAATGAGTGATTATCTTTCCCTTTATTTCTTCACCCTTGAAAACCATAAAGATGATTTCATGAATTCTATGAATTGTAATATAACACGAGATGGATAGAAAATAGTTTTCAAGTAGGAATTTGGGGCGAAACTAGAGAGATTGATTTTTAATTCGGAGGTTTGCGGAGATTTATTTATTCATTTCACGTTGGTACTCATTGTGGACTGATATAAGCCGGAGGGACATTGAAAACGTAGAAGTACTGAATGGATAGCTATTACGGACTACTCAGCAATGCACACCCACGACCTTGCCAGGGCTCGAACCCTAGGCCTTCACATTCCATGGTCAGCATGCTACTATTGAGCCACTAGGTAGGAGTCCAGTGGTTCATATTTCTTACTTCTATCAATTCATGATATACCACGACCTCTATGCAATATCGTTATTTAGTAACTGTCCTCATGTCCAACTTGGTTCGCCCTACTGGTGATGACTTCTCATTAGAACTTCTAGAATCACGTCTTAACCCAGTGGCTCAATGCTTACTTACTGGCCACGCAACCTGAAGGTCCTGTGGTCTTTCCCTGGCGATGTCACTGGTGTCCCCTGATGAGAAGTTACATTCTAAGACGAAAAAGATGTTCAGTACTGTCGAGTTTTTAATGATTCTTCAAATGATGTCAGTCCATGATGTATACCAATCTGAAATCAAAATTGATTGTGTTTTGACTTACATATATGTAGGATGTATCACTAAGGAATTTTCGTTACCTACAATGACGTGTTACATTTTTTGTAGGTTGAGCGAGATAAGATGAAACCTGATTAGTCAGCTAGTATGAATCCATTATTTTGAGGGAACTCCTAAGATAATACAGTTGACAGGTACGCTCAACTCAAATGAAAGAAATATGAAGATAAACAAGGTGGATTTCACTTTAAGGGATGTCTTATAACTTCAGGAATGTACAACACTGATGTAGATAATTTAAGTGTACGGTAAAATATATCTTTCGTACAGCATTATAAGCCTTTTCTATCTCAATGATTATTATTTATTATTATTATTATTCGAGACCCTTGGGTTCCTAGTGGAACATAGGGCTTCAGTAGCACATCTTCAGTGACCTCTGTTCTCTGAGATCTTTTGAACCTGGTTCCACGACAGCCCAGAAGCTCTCATTTCCTCCTCGCACGACCTCCTCCATGTCACCCTCGGACGTCCAACTCGTCGCTTCCCATGGGGATTCCACTCGAGGGCCTGACGCGTGATGTCCTCAGTCGGCCTTCTCAGTGCATGCCCAATCCATCTCCACTTCCTCCTGCATATTTGTTGGGTGATAGCTTCTTGGTTGGTTCGTTCCCAGAGCTCCTTGTTGCTTATTCTTTCTGGCCATCTGATCTTCAGTAGCGAGCGTAAGCAGTTGTTGATGAATGTCTGTAGTTTATTGGAAATGCCTTTCGTAACGCGCCAAGTCTCTCAACCATCACACAGAAGCACTGACTTGACGTTGGTGTTGGAAATCCGCATCTTGCTCCGTATGCTGAGTGCAGAAGATCTCCACACTGGTTTCAGGCTAATGAACGCCTGTCTTGCTTTTCCGATTCTGACTTTGACAGCCTCGTCCGTCCCGCCTGTAGTTGAAACAGTGCTTCGTAGATAAGTGAAGGAGGTTACTTCCTTTAAGTTTCTCCCGTTGGAGTTTGTTGTTGTTGTTGATGGTGGTGGTGCGGTATCTTCATCACCTCTGTCCTCTCTATATTCGACCTAAGTCCCGTCTTCGCTGCCTCTTCTATCAACTTGTTAGTTTTTGCCTGCAGATCTTCAAGTTTGTGTGACATTAGGCATAAGTCATCGGCGAAATCCAAGTCTTCTAGGTTCTTTTCCGCAGTCCAGTGTATCCCCCTCTTCTCACAGCTCCCCACTGTTTGCTGCATGATCCAGTCCACCACAATAAGGAATATCATGGGGGATAGTAGGCAACCTTGTTTCACTCCTGTCTTCACTTCAAAAGCATCACTGAGCTGAGCTTCCCATTGTGAATTACTTGGCATGTGGCATCTTCATATAGTTGTTGAATGAGGTGGATAAAGGTTTGCGGTACTCCGTAGTAGTGAAGCAGTTTCCAAATTACCTCTCGGTCGACGCTGTCAAAGGCCTTCTCAAAGTCGATGAAGTTGAGGTAGAGAGCTGATTGCCATTCTATGCTCTGTTCTATGATGATGCGAAGCGTTGCAATTTGGTCTGCACATGATTTGTACTTCCTGAAGCCTGCCTGTTCCGGTCGCAGTTTTGAATCCAGTGCATCCTTAAGCCTCTCCAGGAGGATGCGGCTTAATATTTTACTTGAGGTGGACAGGAGAGTGATTCCGCGCCAGTTCTTGCAAGCACTGAGGTCTCCCTTCTTCGGCAGTTTGACAAGGTAACCCTTCTTCCAATCACCAGGTACCTTCTCTTCCCTCCACACCTTCTGCAATAGTGGTGTGAGCATGTCTGCTGTTGTCTCTGCATCTGTTCTCAGTGCTTCCGGCGGGATCCCATCTGGTCCTGCTGCTTTCCCACATTTCAGTAGCTTTATGGCTCTCAGGACTCCCATTTTTTTGGAGGATTTATGTCCACTTGTAATTCAGCGGCTGCAGGTGGTATTTCTGGACGAAGTGCAGGTGGTGGTCGATTCAAGAACTTTTTGAAGTGGTCGGCCCATTGTTTCCTTTGTTTCTCTTCTTTCGTAATTAAATTTTCTTCTTCATCTTTTATTGGTTTCATCTGTGTTGATCTCTTCCCTGATAGAAACCTGGTTATTTGATACAATGTCGTCAGGTCTCTCTTACCTGCAGCCTGTTCTGCTTCACTTGCCAGTGTGTCGTAGAAGTGTCTTTTGTCTTTGCGAGCACTCTTCTTCACTTCTTTGTCCAGTGTTTTGTACATTGTACTCAGTTCCTCTTGTCGTTGTTCATCCTTGCACTGGTTTATCTTCTGCTTCACTATCCTCCTCTCCCTGCTCTATCAGCTTTCATGTATGCATTGAGATCCATTCCTTATTTCCTTTCTTCTTCCTTCCTAATACTGTTGTGCAGGTTTCTTTCCACATCTCTTTCAAAGACTTCCAGTGTTCTTCCACACAGGTTTCTTCAGGGATGTTGCTCGATATCTCCCATTTTGTCATGATGGCTGCCTTGAAGATCTCCTTTGTAGTTTCATCCTTCAGTTTCCGAGTGTTGTACTTGAACTGTGGTCTATCACCAACTTCCTTCTATTGAAGTCTTTCAACTTGATTTGGAAGGTTCCTTGCACTAGCTAGTGAATGGTCTGAACCTACATCTGCTCCTCTTCTTGACCTTGTGTTAAGTAGACTGCGTCTCCACTTTCTTGAGATTGAGATAAAGTCGATTTGATTTTTAGTGTGTCCATCTGGTGAAATCCATGTCGCTTTGTGGATATCCTTGTGTTTTTACACACTGCCTCCAATCACCAAATCGTTGAATGCGCAGAATTCTGCAAACAATTCTCCATTCTCGTTCATTTCACCTAGCGCCTCTCGACCCATGGTTAGTTCTCTTCCTGTGTTGTCCCCTCTCACTTTGGCATTCATGTCACCCAATAGAATTTTGATATCGCTAACTGACGTCTTGTCTAGTGTTGATTGAAGTTGTCTGTAGAAATCCTCCTTTTCTCTTGCTCTGCATTATTTGTAGGTGCGTAGCGTAGGATTGAATGATTGTGACCTTCCTTCCTTTTGAGTTGAATCTTGCTGTCATGATCCTGGAGGAGATTGGTTCCCACTGCATGAGAGCCTTCGATGCTCTTGAGGACATCTCAATGATATCATGCTCTAACGCTGTACGTTAGTATTTATATATATATATATATATATATATATATATATATATATATATATATATATATATATCACAAGCATATAACAGTCAATTGATAAACAGTAGGATATAATTGAATCATTAGACGATTGCTAAAGAGAAACCGAAATAAAGAATAGAAAGCAGTTGCGTAATAATCTTTTAGACAGTAGAAATAACGAGGAAGGCAAAGATTTTGACAAGGCGAAAATTGTTAGTATATGAAAAATGAGAATATTGAGTATCCATATGATAGACAGATTGATAGATATAAAGAAGGTGAGAAATTAGACAAAGATCATGATGGAAATGATAGTAGTAAACTAACTAATTATAATGAAATCGAAACAAGATTATGAAAGTATTAAGACCATGATAAGATGAAAGATTGAATATACTTCTTTTGTTCACAGAGATCAGACTTGAATTGGTTATATTACTAGTGCTTATTCTGTCCACAAGTGTCGAAGGTGTACTCCTATTGAAGCATTCTCTTTGACTTTATAAATGACACTGTAAAGCAGGACTCTGGTCAAGCTATATATCCAGAGTTGATCAGATGTTCAAGAATTAAACAGTTAATTTACATTCTCTCTTAGACAACTATACAGGATAGGGATCAGTGATACTTTTGAAAAAGGGTAGTTTGTGCTGCCTATATAACTATCTGCAAAGGAGTAATTAAATTTCTATACAGTATTTGAATTTTCACAGCTGGATGCCTCTCAGCTAAAAAGGAGTCTGACTCATTCTTTATCATCTAGACAAACTACGGAAGATCCTCATGAAAAGTGGATGACGATCCAGATTTATTGAGATCTTGAAATTAAAATAGAATACGGAGAAAGTACTCACAGTTCCAATGAAGACCTTATTTTAAAGTTGATACGGCAGCAGAGATCTTGAAGAATTGGCTGTCTAAATCACTGAAGGAGACTTTCTTTTCTGCAAAGTTACAGATCAGCTTCTATAGTCAGCAACTGCTTCAGGGGTGCATTAAAGACAAGTTTCCGCTTTAGGCAACCTCAGTATATGTCTACAAATCATTATTATTTGTTCTTATATACAACGCCGAGATTATACAAGTGAAAATACACACACGATGAATTTTACAGTAGGCTTTGTAGCGAGTATTTTAACACCATCTAGTTAAAGGGATGAAATACTATGATTTATACGGCTACTAATTACTAGAAATATCATCAGCATTTCAGATAAGTTCGAATAAATCAATCAGGTACTGTCGAAACACTCCATACGTATATCGTGAACTTATAACACCAGTAAACAACATTAAAATCACATAAACTCATTGAATTTAAAGTCATGTAGTCTTTTCCAACACGTTCTTTCATGTAATTATAATTATTATTATTATTATTATTATTATTATTATTATTATTATTATTATTTGCCCCTTCAGTTCCTAGTGGAACATAAGGATTCACTAACACATCACTATTTCACTCTCTTCTCTCAAGTCTTCCCAACCTGGCTCCACCACTCCCCACAACCTTCGATTTCTTCCTCACACCATCTCCTCCACACAACCATCGGCTCCAACTCCCAACTCCTCGTTCCCCATTCCACTTCTACTCAACAACCTGGCCTCACGCCTGAAGTCACCAATCGGTCTTCTCAGCATATCCTCAATCCAATCCATCTCCACTTCCTTCTACTGCATATCTGTTGGGCGACCGATTGTTGCTTGATTCGTTGTCAGCCACACACAGCTCCTCCCTCCTTATTCTTGTTATTCTGGCCACCCATCTGATCTCCATCTTCAGTATCCAGTGAGCGTAGGTGGCAGCTGTTCATGTGATGTATGTGTGCAGTTTGTTGGAAATGCTTTACGTGACGTGCCGCCAAGCCTCTCAATGATCACATAGAAACGCTGACTTGATGTTGGTGTTGAAAATCTGGATGTTGTTCACACTTTGTGCTGAGTTAAGTTGAGTTGAGTTGAGTTGAGTGGACTGGAGTGGAGTGCAGTGCAGTGCAGTAGATCTCCACACTGATTATTTCAGATTAATGTAGGAAGGCCTATCTTGCTGTTTTTCGGATCGTGGTTTTGTCGTGCTTATCTGTGCTGCCGTCACCACTGCTGCTGCCAGTATTTGAATCGATGCTGTGTAGGCAGGTGGGTAGGTGAAAGAGACAACTTTTTTTAGACTTCTCTCGGTGGTGATTGTTGCTTGCTGTTGTTGTTGGTGGTAGTGGTGGTTGGGTATCTTCATCACCCCTGTCTTCTCAACGTTCACTTGAAGAAAGTCTTGTCTTCCTTCACTGCCTCGCCTCTTCTGTCAACTTGTTAGTTTTTTCCTGTTGATCTTCGTGTTTGTGCTACAGAAGACATCAGACATAAATCATCATCTGGGAAATCCAAATTTTTTAAAGTCTTTTCATTGGTCAAACGGCGTGCTCTGATCTTTTCGCTCCTCACGGTTTGTTGCATGATCCAGTCGATTACGATCAAGAAGATCATCGGTGATGATAGTAGGCGGTAACCTTGTTTTACTCTTACCTTCATGTTTTCATGTAATTAGTAGAACTTATCTTTCTAAGGTGTAGTTGTATCTTATTAACTAGACAGTTTTTGCTAAAGCCATTTGTCTATTTATTTGTTATAAATAAGGCACGTATGTGGGCTACAAGTATGGATCATTTATTTCGTGATCCAAATGGTCGGAAATGGTTGGAGCATTTTATGGAAAAAGAGTATAGTTGTGAAAATATGCGTTTTTTACAAGAAGTTCACAAGTACAAATTTGGACCAATAACCAATATTAACAAAGAATCAAAACGTATCTATACTGAGTATTTAGCTAAAACTGGTGTTAGTGAAATTAATATTGATAATTATACATTAACAGCAACTGAAGAATTATTGAAGGTATGTTAATTATTAATGTTATTGCTTGTATTATCTTAGCGTTGATTGGACCGACTTCATCAGTCACTATTGGCATATAGGTTTCAGTGTAGATTCCTCGATATTGCTTGTGTTTGAATCAACTATTATTGATGGTAAGTAGCTAGCAGTGGAATACAGATCGCGTATTTCGCACATAAAATGTCTATTGTGAATCGCACTCTGGCGTTTGAAGCAATCGATCCTGGGGACAACATCACTCCACACCGAGGTGTAGGTACATCCAGCCGACGAGTCCCAAATACGACGAAACGCACCCCCTGGATTCCACTGCTAACCACTACCGATCATGAATATGTTAATTATTTTTGCTGATGCGTAGGTAATGACCCATATAAATGTATTGATAGCCATGTTGTTTGAATAGCATGTATTATAGCTAGACAACTCAAAACTGTTTGGTATGGTTGGGTTTCTGGAGCTATATTTAGTGCATAAGTGGTTGCTATACTACGTGGTTACTGTAAGATGAAGGAAGCTTAAGGTCTATAGGAGTAAAACTTGAACACTGTGGTAGACTATAATTCCATTTTACTCTGTTTATTAGATACGTTACACAGTGAAGGAACAGTATCATTAACTGGATAACGTTTCGGACACAATTTACCGTCCACATTCACACAATAAATGGTGTGTGACTCACAACCATGGTGCACTTTGGTGGATATTCGTTAGACGGCAACAATCGACAGGAAGCCCTGCCTGATCTAAGTTTCATATTCGTCGGCACTTATCAGCCGGTGTGTGTGAAACCTCGAAGGAGCTGATATCCTATAGGAGATTCAAAGTCATGTCACCCTATGCTACAAACTTACCATTAATCTAATGTAGTCCTACAGGAGGTCAACGGTGACCCGAACACCTCAGTGGTATTATCTCTGATTACGTCATTGGGTGACGTGGATTTTCACAAGGGACATCAATTCGCTCCAGGTTGCAGCTACGTCAGATTGACGGTTCAGGTCTTCTCGCTAATTACCTATATTTAATAAACAAACAGACCATATGTTTACTGGAAAACCAATGAAAATAAGTACAAGTTACAACAAAGTAAACTTGGATCATTAGTTTGAAAAAAAAGAAATCGTTGAATAGTTGAACTGCTTTAGCGCTCATAGGTCACTTACTTCGAGACGTGATTCCTGAAGTTCTAGTAGGAAGCCGTGACCAGTGAGATCAACCAAGTCAGATGTGTTGACAGAAGGAGAAAATCTGGGCCATTGGATCCCTACCTAGTGGCTCAGTAGAAACGTGGTGGTGGCCGGACTTGAAGGTTGAGTTCGAACCCTCGGGGGGTCATCGGTGAGCACTGCTGAGGAGCTCCATGCCAGGACAAAAGCACTTTTACTACCTTCAAATGTCTATTTAAACTATCTGAGATAACACTGAGGGGTCACATATTATAACACTTCTTTCTACCCATCAAAGTTGAGCAGTTCGACATTATCATAAACTCATATATCATCGGTATATCATTTTGCAAAATTACCGACTAGTTCCGAAATAAACGGAAATGGGATTTAAAAGCTTAAATAAATATTTGGATGGAAACAAGAGTGGAATAAGTGACTGACAGTTTACTGTCCAGGATGAGCTGTCTTGACTGATATACAAGTCAAAAAGTGTTATAATTTAACACTAATCTTCCACATGATTGGTCTCGAATATATTTTGAAGGGCACCCTAGCAAATCCTGAAATAACGAATCAGGTTTCGGTATTTCAGCTTGGAAGTTAGTTTTACATAAAAGACAGAACCATAATTGATTAGCTCAATAGTTTTTAGAGTGGCGTTTAAGGTTACTTTACTAGCCCGGTCTTGTGTACTCAATCCAACCACACTATGAGTCAAGCATATATGACCCTCCCAACCATGCACAACAGAACACAAAGTCTGGTGCTTAGTAGTCGTGTATTTTGAGTGATGTGAGTTATCGCAATATGCAACTGAATTATCTGATCGTAATCCAATAAACGTTATAGAGATGAAACAACCAACTTCAAGGACGAAAAGATTTCAATCAACATACAGAGATTATTTTCAAAATATAAGTCATATATAAGTAGATGAGGGGTCAATTGAAAGCTCTCGAACTAAGCTATACAGTAACAGTTATACCACAAATAAAATAATTTTTATGATAAATAAGATAATATACAACCAAATGATACTTGTCTGAGATTCATATTTTCCACTTTTCGGCTGATAAATACAACAGTTAGTATTGAAGATGAGATGACTAAGATATCAAAATAATATACTCCAGTAGACTACTATTCAAAGAGAGATTCAAAATTTCATCCAATCTCGTATGTTGAAAGCATATTGCGAAACAAGTGTTGGATAAGTACCGAATATTAACCAATAGAGATTGACAAAAAGCGAATTAACCAGTCAGTAATGATAACATACAATCATAGTACTTGATGAAAAAAGCAAAGTAGAAAAATTAAATGACAATTTCTGTTTATAACTGACTTTTGCCAGAGAAGTGAATCAATTATTCAATGTTCAATTTTTTGTACACGACCATTGAGGGGCAAGAATTAGGTGGAGCGACGTGGTTTCTAAACACCTAACACAAAATAACATTTTATAACATTAGTTCTCAAAAATCACTGTTTATCTGTTCCCAAAATCTAGATAGTGACCTAGTCAGTTTATATAATGTAAAGTTATGTCTTTTGGCGGTAGTTAAGATTGAAATCGAACATGTCCGTTTTATTCCAGTTTATACTTAATACTTAGTAGTGATAATAATTCACATTATTTCAAACAATTTGTGGTACAATTTGGAATTCTCAGCATGATATACTGCAACAACATTTTGAATTTTGTTATTATAAGAATTTAAGTAATGTAAAGAATATTAGTATAAATTATTTGAAATGAAATGATTAACTATGTATAGTAATGATGGGTAGTGGTTACTAGTGGAATCCAGGACGCGCTTTTCTTTCTATTTGGGACTCTTCAGCCGGATGTACCTGCCTTCCAATATGCAATGTTGTTCCCACCGGGATTCGGACTCGGGAGCGAACACTTCAAACGCGAGAGCGTTATTCACTACACCACCGAGCCACGATAGCCACTTCTTGTGTGACGGGTATAGTCTTAGTGTTATACAAGCAATAACACTGAAATTATTCACTGTTACAAAGTTGATAATGTGAGTTCTGTCCTAACACGCTTTTCCTCACAAAATATGCGTGATAGGCAAGGTACAGTCGAATTCTTATACTTAGTTGTACAAGCCATACAGTTTTATGTAATTTCTTCTTGTCCTTCCTGAGGAGATACAAGGAGAGTGCTGTGAATGAGGCTAATGTTTCATGTCACCTAAAATTATTGTAGCTAACTGCTTGTTGGAATTTAAATATCGATCAACTACAGTGTTAATCAGTTGAGCTAGATGCACACCACTCATCCTACTGACGATTTTCAAAGCCCTATATAATATAACATAATCCTCTTTTAGAAGACCAGAAAAGATCATTGGGGAACAATAGAGATTATTTAATATGCAGGAATTAATCGATTGTAAAAGAAGAGGTTGAGTTATACCAGAGAGCCTTAGTTTCTTTATGTAATAAATTAAACGAAAGGATTTTTTACAAGTCAACAAGATATGAGATGACCGACAAAGATCACAAGTAAAACTCAATCCAAGATAGTTAACACTCGATTTACTTTCTGCAGAAATACCATGAGACTTAACCAGCTCACACAAGTCTTGTTTATCCTTAAGGCTAAAATTAGCAGTCTGATACTTAGAAGGGCTTAATTGAGACCATCTGAGAGAGACCATTGGTCAGTAAGAGACAAGAACCCATTTAATTCAGAGGTATCTAAATGAGAGTTAGCCGGAATAGACACCGTCAGGTCATCAGCATACTTGATAAAAGTAGTTTTAACAGAATACCATTTTAGATGTATCTGCCATTGCCACCATTGAGATTTCAAACCGAAATCAGTCAATTTAAACATTAGAACTATGAATTGAATATCATGACGGTGAGACGATAGTGAGACACCTACATGAAGAGCTCATAAGTCACTAAGTGTAGAATGCTTCCGACTATTGTTGTACTACGGTGAGGATAAAAGCTGTTTAATAACCAAAGTATTAAGTGATGGAAAAGATTTGTAGCTGAGGATGACGGTGGTTTGATTTCCGCTGAACTTTGGTACTTTGCCGTCAACCTTTCGTCACTAGGCTTGGTAACATCTTGAGCATTAACTTCATCAAGAAGTGAAACGTAATCGTATATTACACGAGTGTTTAGATAGTGTTTCTTTATTGACCTTGGATTTTGTCCAATTGTAAGTTGGGGAAGAAATTTTTTACCATACCCTGCCTGACACCTTTGACCTTAAATTCCCTTCAGTCACGTCATTTGTTGGAGTGAAATCATACTGTTTGTCGTTGTCACACTATGCATCATTATTGGTTGATCCGGTCAATTTATCGTTGGATGATGGATGACTGTTTTCTTCCTAAGAAGATTGCAGATTAGGTCTATATCGTTTGAATGTCATCCTTCTAGAAATGCTCTAGGAGCATTGGAACCTACTGTTTGCAGGATTTTCACATTCTCCTAGTCGAATTTTTGATTGTGATTGTCTGTAAGCATTGAAACCAAGGAGATCGAGTCATTTCACTTTACTGCTAGTTAGTGTTCTTCAATTATTTGAGCAGTCCGATGGCTAGACTGGCCTAGACCTGATATGAATATGGACAATAAATTGTGTCCGAAATGTTATCCAGTATATGATACTGTTTCACCGTGACATTTCTAATAAATAGGCTAAAATGGGCAAAATAATGCTGTGAACATTTTTTTCATTTTCTTAAAGGTTAATACTACCACACTTTGTATAGCAGTTGCCTTATACATTCTACTCACTTAAGTCCTACTGTTATTTTACACCCCCTTCTGACTATAAAAATACCCATATGGCCTTATCGATGTGTCCTTAGACTTCTGCGACGAGGATTATGCATCAATCCATGTGTATTAATCTTTGAAGTAGTCATCATCATGGAGATCTAATTTCTTCTTGAATGTGTTCAACAAAGGAGCTCTGTTAACAAGTTTCAGTCATTGATTACTTTATGGGAGAATTTGTATTCCCACTGAAGTTGATCCAACCACGGTGTAACGATGACGTCTTAGGTGATGACCAGTGTTCAAGAGGGTGTGAAGATTAGACATATCAACATTCAAATTTTTGAGAATTGAGGAAGATCCCATCGACAAAATCTGTAGAAGTTGGCACATTTCTACATTTTAACCGTAATATTCCAACTTGACAATTCTTCTTAATTGTTTTTTGAATTTAAGAATGGATAGTTACTAACACTGAGATTCACGATTCGTTCTGTTTAGGACTCGCTAGATGGATGTATCTGCATTTCAGCGAGCAGTAGTGTCCCCACAGAGACTCAAACCTATCACGCATCACTTCAAACCCCAGAGCGTTATCCATTATTTGTGCTATGGGTATAGTTTGATATGTTGGAGCATGTCATTTAGCGTTGTTGATTCGTTTGAACTGGATTGATTGGCTTCTGTCGACATTTAGGCTCCTGAAGGACAGGTAAATCCAGCTAACAAGTCACAGACAGATGTGTCTTCGAAATAAAATCACTGACTATATGGAGACATCTACACAGGAGCCTATATATGCTAAACAAAAGCCGATCATTTCGTTCTTAGTTAGTCATCAATAAGAAATAACAACCTCCAAAATGTTTTTGGTGTTTGTTGATCACCCATCAATATTAGTGTATTTAGATGGTAGTCTCTTAAATTGAACCAAAGTAGTCCTCGTTACTTTGTATTGAATATGCTGTAGCCACAATCAGATACTTGTACCAAAGGATAATACTATAGTCTTGATGTTCGTATGAGTAATTTCTCATATTTATCATTTCTACCGAAAAACAATGCACTAAGATGAATTCATTTTAAGAAAAGCTATACTATTCAAAAATTCTTATCATCTCAAATATACTACTGATATGCAAGACGGATTACATCTTATCACCGGTCAGTTGAACATGATTCATTTACCTAATCATTCAGGATGGTAGAATATATATGTAGCTCGAGATGAAGATGATGGTCGTTTGATTTTCTCTAAGCTTCGATAATTTGTCGTGAACGTTCACAACAAAATATCAAAGTACAGAGAACACTAAATAACCATCATTATATGAAAGTATATTTTTAAGTAGTTACTTGCCTTTTTAATCATATTAATAGTAAACAATGCTTAATTTTACTTATTTTTGTATATTTATAATAAAAATCGCCATTCTAACCTCCTTCTATAAACTGTTTGATTCTCTTATACTAGAATCCTGATCTATTTTGTTTCGACTTTGCACAAGAACATATCTACAATTTAGTGAAAAATGATTCATATACACGTTTTCTACGATCAAATGATTACGCAAAGATATTGAATCATGCATTGAAATCATCATCACAAACAATTAGAACAGAACAACAAAAATAGATAATATTGACAACTAGATAAAGAAAAGTCTTCTTAGCTTAAACAAATCATTAATTGTTAAGTAAGGGGTAAATGTATTCATCAATTTACTGATTATATTATAAGCAAAAAAATAAGTCTCCCATTTTTCTTGTGATTTTTAACGATTGATTGGTAGTATTGAGAGATAGGATACACGTTGAAATTTATTTTCAGGTGTCCATTGTTTGCATGAACATGAACATGAATATGAACAGTGGAATTCCATAGAAACACAAACTCTTCATCATATATTTGAAATTCCTTATTTTTCACCATGATATCCCACCTTATCCATCATTTATGTGTACAAAATCCAAAGGAGAATGTATTCCATGTTTCAGAATACTTGATGTATATGAAGATATTTTCAAGATATCAGCTGATAACTCACTTACAACTAAAGGAATTCAAAATTACGACCGGAACAGGCTGGATGGGTTCAGGAAAAACAAATCACTAAACATCATCATTATAGAACAGAGCATTCAATGCCAGTCAACTCTGCACCTCAAATTCATCCACTCTGAAAAGGCCTTCAATAGCCTCGATCGAGAAGTAATTTGGCAGATGCTTCAATACTAAGGTTTTAGTGCCACAAACCTTTATCAGTCTCATTCAACAGCTACATGAAGACGCCACATGTCAAGTGATTCACAATGGGAAGCTCAGTGACGCCTTTGAAGAGAAATGAAGACAGGAGTAAGACAAGGCTACCTCCTACAATCCCCAATCGTCTTCCTGACTGTGGTGCACTACATTGCACTACATCATGCAACAAACATATGAGGAGCGAGAAGATAAGCATACCCTAAATGGACCGATGAAAAGACTCTAGAAGATCTGCATTTCGCCGATGATGGTTTGTGTCTAATGTCTTCTGTAGCACAAACTCGAAGATCAACAGGAAAAAATAACAAGTTGACAGAAGAGGCGAGGCAGTGAAGAAAGACGGCACTTCCTTCAAGTGAAAGTAGAGAACAAACGGTCGATGAAGATACCCGACCATCACCACCACCACCAACAACAACAACAACAACAGCAAGCAACAATCACCACCAACGAGAGAAGTCTAAAGGAAGTTGTCTCTTTCACCTATCCACCTGCCTACACAGCATCGTTTCAAATACAGGCGGCACAGGCAGAGATCAGCACGTCAAAACCACTATCCGAAAGACAACAAGACAGACCTTCCTCCATTCGTCTGAAACAATCAATGTGGAGATCTACTGCACTACACTCCACCCCCACTCAACTCAACTCAACTCAGCATAAAGTGTGAACAACATCCAGATTTTCAACACTAATGTCAGTCAAATGAGTCACTGTTTCTATGTGATGATTGAGAGACTTGGTGTGTTACGAAAACCATTTCCAAGAAACTCCACACATACATCACATCAACACCTGCCGCCCACGCTTACTCGATACTGACACTGCACATCAGGTAGCCAGAATAATAAGAATAAGGAGGGACGAACTGTGGCTGGCTGGCTGGCTGGCTGGCTGGCTGGCTGGCTGGCTGGCTGGCTGGCTGGCAACGAACCAACCAACAACACATCGCACAACAAATACGGAGAAAGAAGTGGAGATGAATCATGTATACACTGAGAAAACACTTTAGTGACATCACACGTCAGGCCCTCGAGTGGAACCCGCATGGGAAACGACGACGAGTTAGGTGTTGGAGAGACACGGGATTCTGTGACGAAAAAATGAAAGGTTGTGGGGAGTGGTGGAACCAGGTTGAAAAGACTGCAGAAAAGAGAGTGAAATGGCAACGTGCTAATGAAGCCGTATGTTCCACTAGGAACCCAACAGACAAATAATAATCATAATAATAAACGGCAATAAACACGTATCATGACTTATTTCCGAGAATTCCTCAGCAGTTCCAAACCTTAACTTACTTTGAAATCGAACTTTAAAGCCTTTGAGTCACCATCATGAGTTAGCTTTAATTCAACCACCATGTTACCATAAAAATTGACAGTTTTCGACACCCCAAAAACATGTTACCCCGAAATGCTATTTAAATAATCTCAGTCAAAATCGACTGTTAAGTTACACAAGTCAGACAGAGAATCTTCCCATGAAGACTTTAACCTATGACACCTATATACTCTTCGATGATGTAGGAAGACGTTTGTCGCAAATTATGAATTGACTCGGAATGTTAATGTCATTAGCACAACGGTAATCTGTACAATATGGAATTGCGTTACAATTTCAGTCACAGATTATGTATGCTAAAATAAATTTCATGTTAAACAGCCTCCACTCACTCCCAAAATGCAAATACATAATCATCCAACATTTGTCATTCTTAGTAATTAAAATTATTTCATGAGGATAGATGAAAATTTCACCTACAAGTTGTAATGATGAAATTATCACAAATTCAAATGTCGTCATCATAATACACCCAGTGGACACACACCAGGAATCATGTTATTAACTCTACCAATTCAGTCTCCCATATAGTCAACAATGTAAAATTTCCATGTTATACGTCATTCATTTAAATAATGATGAAGAACTAGCATAATTGGCACTCTACAATACACACCAATTGAACTATTATGTCAAGAATATCGCTTCTAGAAACACCTTAAAGACTTCACAGAAGCAATCGGATTTCCGCAGCATCATTCTCTGCACCCCCACAATCCCATTCATCAAATATAACCAGTGTATGTAAAACTGACAATATTTGTTAGCAGTTTGTGGACATTAAAAAAATAATATACGGGTGGAAATCAAGCAAGAAATATCACATTATTTGACAAAATGAGTAAATCTTAATTGAAATCAGGAAACAAAAAAAAATCACTTTGGAGATTTGTGAGGATTTATTGATTCAGGATGGTATTCATCATCGACTGACATCAGCTGAAGAATCATTGGAAACTTCAGAGCACTGGATAGCTGTCTCTTCTTAGTGTCAGACTACTCAGCAGTGCTCATCCATGACCCCACTCCATCACGGACCACACCCAAGACCTACAGGCTCCGTGGCCAACACTTTACTATTCAGCTCCTGCGTCGAAATCCAATGGCTCATAATTCCTACCTCTGTCAGTTCACGACCTCCTACCAATGCCGTCCTTCAATAAATATCCTCATATCCGACTTTGTTGACACTACCGGTCACGACTTCTCACTGGAACTTCACAAAGCAATGAACACTGGGTTAATTTAAATTTGACGTTTCGGGAGATTAACCAACTTCAGGCTGTCATTCATCATCAACTGACACAAGTAGGAAATATAGACCATTGAATACCGACACAGTAGTTCAGTGGTAACGTGCTGGTAGCAGAACCTGAAGATCCTAGGTTCGGCCCCTGGTCACACCAGGCGTATGTATTGCTGAAGAGTCCCACACTAGCCCAAAACAGCTGTCTCGTAATCCCAGCTATCTTATGTCTCTACAAATAATCTCTCCGCATGATGAATACCAACTCGAAATAAACAATTCTTGGTAAAGTGAGTAGGCAGTTGTCAGTGAGCAAGGGAATGACAAATTTGTAATTCAGCTAACGGATAATCACATACATAATAGAAACATGAAAATTAAAACGCTAGTTAGCCTTATAAATTGGAAGGTTTAAGAATTCACAAATCAACAAGGATAGAGAATAGTAAATTCGCTTCTCGATATACAATCCAAGTGTCGATTGTTGTATTGCCAGAGCTACAGCAGTACAAAGTAAACATTTCATCACACCATTCGCAATATTACCTTGTTCTATGTACACCAGTGAAAACGAGTCTTCTGGAACTGTGTATCCATTGTCAATCAAATGCTCTATGTAATATGTAGCTGTTGATTAATCTACATTGACTTTCACTGATGAACGTCGATCTTTATTCTTCTAATTTACGACATTCGACAGCAGATACTACAAATTGACTAATTGCAACTCAACTCAACTCAACTAAGAAAGTTGATCATTTGCCTATCCCACGTAGATTTTCGATACATTCATCCTCTATGCTTCTCATCACCTTCTTCTCTTCTTAACTGAACTTAGAAAAATGATGTCTTCCAGTGTGATTTCATCTCTGTTGTAAAGTTGGTGAAGGAGTGATATTCATTGGAAAACTGAAGTACTGACTGTAAGTCACAACTCTTATCACAAACAATCATCTATCATCAACATATCTGCTGTAGAAGAAGGGATGATGTGATGTGATGCTTAAGAGATCCACTTATCGAAAATCTATGTGGAATGGACAAATGACAAAACCTAACAGCTCGGTTCCAATCACCCGACAAAGATACTTAACCCATTTCATTTTCTCTCGAATACCAAAGATTTGTACTAACAACACTACAGAAGGCAAAATCATACTTAGAAGATCGACTTACACCAGAAATCGATAACCAGATAAATTCATAGACTAAAATTCTAAATCACAATGCTACTTTACGAATTGTCTTTATGCGAACTTGACAGACGCAGAGGCCAATCACTAATTACTCGTACTTGTAATATACCCACGAATACAAGACCAAGGCAAAACACAATAGTGTAGTCAGATCGAATAGTATATTTGAGAGGTCGTGCCAAAATACCGATACGTTCCCACTAGCTGCTTAGAGAATCGATGACAACAAGTGCAACGTAACACCACGGCGTCCCAAATGGCCTGGATCATTGACCATAAGTCTTCAGCTTAGTCACTTCGATAAAACTATTCAAGGTCAGAATCAACGCTGAATCTCGTCGAACCCTAGACTACTGATCTTGAGAAAGTATGTGACGCTACACCACCATTTAGCCTCCTATCACTATGGGCAAGAAAAAACTATTTTCCAGCTTCAAATTCAATGGAGACGCAGCAAATAATGCGCTAAAACGTAGACTAATGAAGTCGGTTGAAAGAACATTCTATGCAGAAACTCGGAAAATTCCTTATGCTAGTTTCAACCAAAACGAAGATTATAAGGTGGACTCATCACATCCTAAAACAACTGAACGAACACCACAAACAGAAAAGACAAAACGCATAAACAATGCAAAAAATATATGTATATCTCCATGTTAATCTGTAACAATTCTCAAAGACGTTGAGAAATAAAGAAGGGTATGAGATGAAATAAAGTAAAATAAGATCTGTACAGAAAGAGAATCACACAGGAACACAGTCCTTGGTGCATATTCATGACAAATCCATTCTCTACAACAAATATATATCTATATACACAACGTAGGTCAACTTAGCTTCATTTCCGCCAACTTCAGAGCTCTGCGACCTAACGCCTCAGCTTTAGCAACAGCTAACAATTCAGGCGACGTCTGACACCAACCAGAACGTCTACGATCACTTACAACTGGTGAGATATTCTCCACTTGTTTACAACGACCCGGTGGACGACCTCTCGATCGTTTAGCTGGTAAACTGTCTGGTGTTTTCGAAATACTATTCATACAATCCAAATTCTCTACTGAATTCAAAGCACATGAATCACTGATCTGTAGAATATAAAAAAAGATAAGCTGATTCAAGTAACAACAAGTTCAATACTATTACCAACGCTGGTCAATAATCAATAAAAAAAACCAGTAAACGGAGGAAATACAATCAATTCGACTAGCTTACAATGTGTACGCAGAATTACTTATGCCACAAAGTAAAAATTACAGAAATCCCCTCCAATCTCATCAAAGTGTTTATTATCCTGGATGACTATTTTCAGTGGTCTAGAGAATACGGAAAAAGTCCTCCGAAACTCAGCTTAGATTAACAAACGTATGGTTACCCAACCAGACAGTCCCATTCAACCCAACACATATTCATCATGTACTACAACAATAGGAATATTACACTAATGACAACTCAGGGTGGAGCAAACAATCATAAGACAATACACTTTTTATAAGCTGTTGACAGTTGACAAATGTAATGTGATCAGATCACATACGTGGGTTATGCGAAAGAGAAAACTATAAAAGCCAAACACCGACTTCCATCAGAACAAAAGGATTTTAACTATCTAAGTTAAGTAGTACTCCCAAACTGAACAATGCTAAGATACTTCTGAAGTTTATCTACAGCACCAGGTTTTTCATACCTAGATATTCTCGCTTCACAGAGCAGATATGACAGAGATCTGCCCATCCCAATATGAAATGTTGGCTGAAGTAAGATTGCATTGGAAGGCGGCTAAGGAAGACCAGACCAATGAGTGGCATCACCACATGAAGTCTATCACTATTCGTTTGAGCCATCCATGTACACAGGCATAGATTGCCCAGTTGCGATCCTCCAGATCATACGATTCACTGGTTGAAGAACCTTATTCACATGGCTGAAAATCAGTCGCAATCAACCACACATATATTCACTCTTCGATGTCTCCCAACCTTGAAAATTTCAATCAACACTCATTTTCAAATTCCTTTGCATCCTACACACCGTTGTCTGCTGTCAAATCACTCCTTCTCTACCCACTCACACTTGGCAGACTACTGTGTTTCGTGACATGTCCAACTTATGCATTTCTGTGCAAAGTCACACTTTCTTTTTCTTTTCCAGCGTCTACGATAAGACATACTTGAAATCCCTCCTCGAGCTTAGCTTCATGTAGTACACAATATCATTTCACTTCAAGATCACACTAAACAGCATCCATGCTCTACAAAGTCTCTGTTAGTCTAACCAACAAAACAATTGTTCACATAGACAAATAAACGTTGTTTAACATGTGTCTAACTACACTGAGTCAGACATTTGGGTTCGCTTATGAAGTGAAAAGAATAACAACATGAATCCTTGTACTAGTTTGTACACTCCCAAGGGTAACTATAGTCACAAGATTCACAGTAGTAGTAAAACCACTTCACACAGGAGTCTCAGTTAACAGTCACTCACAGACTAAAATGATGAACCGTTAACAAGATCTTAAGATAACCATGACGTATACTCATGTCCCTTTCAACTTTCCGACCACATACAAAACACAGTTCTCATGCCGAATTCACTTCAGAGATTCAACGTTCAAAAGTAAATACTTATCATCAAAAACTCAATGCCAAATTACATAACTGATTATAGTTGCTACATAACACACTGACTCAACTAAATGAATCGCATAGTACATGAAAACTCATCTTTTGTAAACAAAGAAACTACCCACACCTTTGAAGTATTCTTTGCATTATATTTACGTCGTGATGGTGAAGAAGTACTCGTTTGATCTGAAGATAAAGTTGATTTACAACTTGACACCATTTGTTTGCCTATAGAACATTTCGCACTGTACAAACATTTACGCAAATAACCATAATCTGGTGTATCCGCATAACCCAATTGCAGGATGCACTGAATGAATGAAAGTAGATCTAAAAGGGGGAATAGACGATTCAAGATAAATATGAAATATGTCCAAAAGGCGAGTTGTTTTTACAATTACAAGCACAAGAATACGATAAAGTAGTTGATGTCATCAACCAGAATAAATGTTAGTCGACAGTCAGTCACTTTGCCCATAATGAGTTGATATCCGTGTTCATTAGCCAACTACTATTGAAGGATAAATCCATAGTCCAATTCCGCTCGCCAGCCTTATAAGTCACCATCTCAAAGTTGCACATACGCCTTACTCATAGTTACTAACAGACACAAATACCTCCACAGCCTCCTGTTGATCTCTATCTAATACAGTCGACCTACATCAACAACATGCATAGACAACTATTCACACACTGATGCTCATTACAACACTAAGTCTACCACATTTGAGCTCCAAAGTTAACATGACACACAAACAGCTCAACAGTGAATTCGTTGACTATCATACTAAGATATTACTTTCAATATCAGATAGCAGTGTAGATGTACGGTGTCAATGAGTAACAGTGATATCTATCGAATACCCATCGACTGTAGGAAACTACATAAGGAACCATCAGCATTCTGGTTGCAACAGTTCACTCAATGTCATTGATCTACCTACTATCAGAAAGCAACATGTTTTAGTACCTTTACTCAAGTTTCCTTTGATTGGCTCTCTGAAACCTTTACTCTTGTCTGATTAGTCGACCAGTGGTCATGTTCAACTTGTCACTCCCATCAATTATTGACTTCACATGTCAGTTTGCAATTTATACCAACTAGTAATCACTATAAAGTATACAACACGATAGTCTTCTCATTTGGAACACACCACCACTCCACTCTCAAGTGTGAATACAATCACGTTTATCAAACAACAATTCCCAGTAGAGTTTAAAAACTATCGAATGTAATTAACTATGATGACATCGATATATTTATATGAAAACGCAACCAACCGGCATTAGGTCCATATCCAGCTTGTAATACAAATTCTCCAGGACTTTTCATTGTTTTCTCCTTCTCATCAGCCACTGCCATTTTCACACGATCAGGAACATTTGCACGCAGTTTTGGATCTGAACATTTCGAAAAGAAAAATAATTATTCAAATCAAACTGTTTCCACATAACACATTCAACAGATTGTATCCAACATATCATCTCACCCCACCCCACCCTTTCCCCATCTACAGATGCTGATATACTGTACTCAACTTTGTTACGATTGTACATCACACTTAAAAGAGAGAACTCTGTTCATTTTCATAAACGAAAACAGCGTCTATCCAATTCACGAATTCTAAAAACAATGTTGCCCAACCTCACCTTCACGGTTAGTAACCTCCAGTTGTCATCATCACAAAACCTTCAAAACATATTTCCCATATCATTAATAAGAACAGGATTCAGTCAATTTTGATCAAACAAATGCAAATTCTTGACAAAATAATGATATCCTGAATAGACATACATTTATCCTCATCAGTCTGACTAGCCGTGGTTTGGCAGACTTGTGCTGGTACTGGATAATGATTGAAGATGAAATGGAAATTCTCAAATAGTCACACTGATAACCAATATGATGCTTCCTCCCTCTCTAATTTCACAACATATGCATTAGAATGAGAAGCCCTGACTAGGAAACTAGTCACTCGCATTTTACTATTGACCGATATAGAAAAACAATCCACTTTCCATTTCATTCCTTCCAAACATGAAAATGAGTAACACATAACTTCGAGTAATGACTGCACCACACATTTATAAACAAATAACTTACCTGATATCAGATGTCCCCAAGGAAGACCAGTGAAATGTGACTGAGAGGAATTCGGATGAGATCGAGCCAACCAATGGATAAGATTGAAAAATAGAATTTCCAAATCCCCTCGACGAGATGGTGGAAGTCCTACAAAAAATGACAGAAACATCTTATATTGACAAACAAAGTGACAGCATCTAATAAAGTGTTGAAGAATAATTGTAGCTCAGAATGTGCATATTCAATCCAGTTGTCCGATGAACTACACATTTTGTTTACAAATATTTCACAATATCTTCCTTAGTTAAATGCTGATGTGACCGATTATTATTATTGTACTACTAATAAAACACAAACTCGGTAAAACATAGGTACCATGAAATGCACCACTCAGAATAATAAAGCAATATTACACAAACATAACAAAACGAAGAGGGAGTGGAAACTGAAATAGAAGTGGGCTATTAAAGAAGCAGTCTAGAATGTACATACAAAGAAGTATTCACTACATTCTGTCTTACTTTGCTGCCATGAAAGACACAAGAAAACTGAAGGATGTTTACCACTAGTCTAGATCTTACGTCATATCTGATATTGTCTAAGTCAATGAGCTCAGTCATCTGCCGGAACCCATCGACAGAGTTGTCAGACATCTACAGACGCAAACCCCATACAGATATCCTTCATCTCACGGTGCCACGTCATACACTGGTCACCTCTCCGATTCTCGTAACCATTTGCACGCCAAGCAAACACTGAGAAAAGTGGGAGCCACCAAATGCGGTGTTGCAAGATGGCCACACTTAATGAATGACGACCTCCACCACTCCCAAACACACACCATCACACCATAGAACTTCTTACACAATGTTGTCACGAGATGCAAGCAATCCCACAGACAACAGTAGTCGAAAACGCAGAACCGTCTAACACCCTCAGCTCGGTGAGGTCAGGTCTGAATAAGTATCAAGCAGAACTCCTCATTTTCACACCTAACAATCTTTTACAAGCACTTCATACTTCCATCGTTCAAAGCACACACCATGCATAAGGACACTAATCATCAACTCATTCAGTGTGATTTGGATACTCTATGCTGTCGCATAACCTCGCCTGGTTAACTAGTTCACTAATTACTAGCCGGTCCTAGGCCCAGATAAAGAAGGAAGCCTGGGCATATGATTAGCACAACCCTACCCCGCAAAACCAATCCAATCGCCAAATAAACTTCAAAGCACTGACAAAATATAAAAAATAAAAACAAACCGATTCCTAGCTGGAATCCGAGAGACGAAATGACGCCCGTTGATGAAAGCCCTCAGTAAGACAGTTGGCTGATGTATCTTCTCTCGATGAAAGCGAAAGTAAGAATGGGGATTTGGAATGTTCGCACAATTTATGAACCTACCAAGGCTGCCCAGATTCCAAATAAGATGAGCAGATATGGCATGGAAGTGCTAGGCTAGGAACCTGCGAAAGCATATGGAATGGAAGTCGACTCTCCAAACTCTTAACTGGACAATCAATAATCTACTCCCATATTGTCACACAGACGACAATCACGACCACACTGAGTTTTGAAGTGGCTATCATGATGGCCCCCTCCCAAAACCATCGAAGGCTCTCATACAGTGGGAACCAGTCTTCTCCACGATCATGACAGCAAGATTCAACTCAAAAGGAAGGAAAGTCACAATCATTCAATCCTACGCTACGCACCTACAAATAATGCACATCAAGAGAAGAAGGAGGAACTCCACAGACAACTGGAATCAGTACTAGACAAGACTCCAGTTAGCGACATCAAAATTCTAATGGGCGACATCAATGCCAAACTCGGAGCAGACAACACAGGAAGAGAACTAATCATGGGCCAAGAAACACTCCGTGAAATGATCGATGACAATGGAGAACTGTTTCCAGATTTCTGCGCATTCAACGATTTGGTGATTGGAGGCAGTGTGTAAAAACACAAGGATATTCACAAAGCGACATGGATTTCACCACACACCACGACACACTACAAATCACATCAACTTCATCTCAATGTGAAGAAAGCGGAGACGCAGCCTATACTCGACACAAGATCAGATCAAGAAGGGGAGCAGATGTAGGTTCACACCAATCACTATCTACTGCAAGAAACGTACCTTCAAAATCAACTTGAAAGCCTTCAACGAAGTTGGCAGTAGACTACAGTTCAAGTTCAACACCCAGAACAGAAACTTAACTGAATGACAAAACTACAAAGAACATCTTCACATCAGCCATCAAAACAAAATGGGAGATATCGAGCAACATCCATGAAGAAACCGGTGTGGATGAACACTGGAACTCTTCGAAAGAAATGTAGAAAGGAACCTGCATAACCGTAAGTTGAAGAGGAAACAAGACAAGGAATGGATCTCGACGGACACATGCAAACTCATAGAACAGGGAGAGGAAGATGGTGAAGCAGAAGATGAACCAGTGCAAGCATGCACAACAAAAAGAAGAACCGAACACAGCGTATAAAACACTGGACAAACAACTGAAGAAGAGTGCGCGCAAAGACAAAAGATACTTCTACGACACACTTACAAGTGAAGCAGAACAGGCTGCTGGTAGGAGAGACCTGACAACATCATATCAAATAACCAGGTTACTATCTAGAAGAGACCAACGCAGACAAATCAATGAAAGATAGTGAAGGAAACCTAGTAACCAAAGAGGAGAAACAAAGGAAACAATGGGCTGACCACTTCAAAAACTCTTGAATCAACCACCACCAACACCTGCAATTCGGCCACAAATACCACTAGCAACCGCAGAACTACCAGTGAACACATGCCTTCCAACGAAAGTCCAAGTCCTGAATGCCATAAAGCTGCTGAAATTCGGGAAAGCAGCACAACCAGATGGAATTCCACCAGAAGTACTCAAAACAGATGCAGAGATTTCAACGGACATGCTCACACCGCCACTGTAGAAGGTTTGCAAGGAAGGAAGGAAGGAAAGGTACCTGACTATTGATTGGAAGAGGGGCAAAATATTATGCCGCATCATCCTGGAGAGACTAAAACATGCGCTGGATTCAAAATTACCACCGGAACTGGCGGCTTCAGGAAGAACAAATCATGTGCCGATCAGACTGCAACACTACGCATCATCATCGAACAGACTATAGAATGGCAGTCAACTCTCTACCTCAACTCCATCGACTTCGAAAAGGCCATCGACAGCTTCGACCGACAAGTAATTTGGCAGCTCCTTCAACACTACGATTTTTGTGTCATTAATCTTCATAAAACTCACTTAACAGCTATATGAAAACGCCAAATACCAGGTTATCCACAATCGAAAGCTCGGTGACGCCTTTGAAGTGAATGAAGACAGGAGTAGGACAACGCTGCCGCCTACTATCATCGATCATCTTCCTGATTGTGGTCGACTGGATCACACAGCAAACTGTGAGCAGTGAGAAAATCGGCATACGCTAAACCGATGAAAACAGCCTAAAAGATTGGGATTTCGCTGATGATTTATGTCTACATGGTGAGGAAACTTGGCGCGTCACGAATAGCACTTCCAAATCCTCACGGATACCACTCTCTAACAGACAATTCCAAAACAGCCATTCTCAACGAACCGAAAGCATCTCTGTCAAGGAGGAATGCAACGGTCACTGGTCGCAAATACGTGTGATAGTGGTCGACCATCTGGTAGAAGGTCAACACATAATCAATGAATCCATGAACAGGACGAAATACTGACTACTCTTTGCCGATGAATTCCTCAAGCCTTTTGAACAGCCCACAATGCACGATAGTACCCAATACTTTAGACGAAATCAATAGCACACTGACACACCTGTGATTACAACATACATACATTACGTAGACCCCTTTGTAAAATGGGTCCAATTATGGCTTCATTCAAGGGGGATGGAATATCCTTATTCAAACATACCTTCTCAAACAATGTAGTCAGTTCTCTGACTACAGTCTCACCTCGAGCCTAATAAAGTGTCTACGGTAGTTCCTCTCGGCCGAGTGCCCTATCACACTCTAAATCTTGACGATCCTAACGGACTATCGCCTGGTTGGATGGATAAGAGTTAATTGATCATGCAGCCCAACATCCACTTCAATAAGTGGATGCTGCTGGAGCAGTAGTCCAACTGAGCTGCTTTTCCAACTCCTAGCTCTATTTTACCAGGCATCCATAAACGTTGGAGAACGGCGTACTATTTACTTCCTGCTGACACTGACTCCGCTCCGATAACCTAGAATAGCTCCCGATTTCTCCCAGATGCAGCTACTCCTTTCACCTAACTCACGCCTTTCAACCACCACACCTCGCACTTCTCAAGCAAACGCTGCATGGTCTGTCGTGTACAGGACTTACTCATATCACTATACTCGCTACCTGCTAGAATACAACGACGAGCATCAAACAGCTTACAGAGACTCAGTGTTCTTCAAAAACCTGGTAACAGTACGCAATAATAATGAAGTTTCCTTCGCTTATCGATACCACCCTCCAACGGTTAACAATATTAACAGAAATCGCAATCAAAAAATTCGGTCACAACAAACTACATAGAATGACAGAGTTTTAAGAAGTATATAAGAGAAGAAAAAGTGCACACCATACCATTATGTGCATCCCGTGAACAGAATTCTAACGTTCCATTATGTCGAAATTTAGGATCTGGTTTCTCAGCAGCATGTACACCTCTTGAACGGAATAAATGGACTAGGCCAAAATCGGCTAAATACACCTGAAAGAAAATGGAGAACATGTTTCTCTTAAAAAGAAGAGCAAATAAATGAGCACTGCAACACAAAATAAATCCTATTTCTTGACACACAGTTCATACACTCGGATACAAATATAGCTTTAAGACTCCAGGATTTTCTACAAAGATCTATAGAAGTTAAGGATATAATTAGTAGAAATAACTAGACACAAGTTTCCCGATTTCCTAGTTATCAGAGAAGCGTATGTGCAGTGTTGTTCTTTTTCTTTGCTCAAGTGGCACACTCCACTGTGGTGGAGAACACTTTCAATACTGGTACCACATCCGAACCTTCCACAGATTCAGTCAATTTACAAGTCGGATTTCAGTACAGTTAGTCTCCCCTTCACATTTATATAGCACTTCATAATGAATGATGAAGAAAAATTCAATTCAAATGTTCAGTCACATGCACCAACCACATCTACACTAACGACACTCAAGAATCACAGGTAGATTCTTTACATAACTGTCAGTCGGACACTTTCCACTTGAAACGTATATATCAACTACCATTTTCTGACAAACCCACGTAAAATCGAATCTCTTCTGAAATTAAGAAACACTCCATCATTTCATTCATCAAAATGACAGGCAACAGAAATTTCAAACGATTTCATTCTACTTATGTGATCTATAAAACCAACTAGTAACCATTCAGTCAATTCCTACGACCGGTTACTGTAACCACTACCCTTCGACCAGCCTTCAAGAAATAAGTGTTGCCCCAAAGTTTGTGCACTAATTTGTCAACAATCGCAAAACTTTACTTGTCTCACTTCACCAAAACTTCAGTTACGTTCAAACTAATGAGTGACCACTTAGTGATGCTTTATTTATTGACATACCGCTGTTAATTACATTCCACAACAAGAAATATTTGCCAAACAATTAAAACTAACCTCTTCTTGAGAAGTACCATGAAGAAGATTCGATGCCTTGATATCCGCATGAGCATAGTCCCGAGAATGTACATATTCCAGTGCATTCAACTACAAATTTCGAAACACACAAACAGTGTAAACCATCCTCCAAAGATACAGATACATAATTCACAACTTATTCTACATATAAGCAAAAATCAAAAATCTAAACAATGACATCAATCTTGACCAAGAAAAAAGAATGCAAAGACCAACGGCTGTTTAAACCAATCACCATTGTTGCTGATCGTGGTGATCACAGTTTTACATAGCCTACATCACATCCATCAACAGTAACGCCAAAAGGTTGCAACTGGAGGATGATATTTCAAATGAAATCCTCTCAACACCAATGAGGCACCTCCAACCTTTCTAAAAGTTCTTATGTCTTCTTTGGACTGTACTGCACAGATCACCATAGGTGCCTAAACAATCACATGTGTTCGAGTACAAGACCTTCAGTGGGCTGGTAATTGACCGACATTCTTTTCAGTGACACACTGCTGCATAATCTTGCGATCAACCGGCTTTAATACTGTCTTCAGCTTAAGAAATACAGCCAGTGTTGACCACCCATGAGTCTCCTTTGTGTTCCAACTTACCAATCAATCATGTGACCTTTTCAAAACAAAACTTGGTACGGTCTGCTGTAAAAGCAGCACTGAAGACTGTAACCGTCTCCAAAATAATGGCTAAAAAGAGCCAGTGGATATCAGCAGCTTCTTCCAAACTAATGGATGCACGTGAATGCATCCCTGCAGGCTCTGAGTACAATGAAGAGCGAGCGCAACTTAAAAATAGACTGATGAAAAGTCTGCGCAACGATCGTGAACAGTGGTGGGCAGCGAAGGCTAAAGAGATGGAAAAGGCAGCGGCGATCGGTAACAGTAGACAGTTATTTAGACTTATTAAGGAGACTGGGGGGAAATGATCAACAACAGTTAGTGAGGCTATAGCGGAGAAGGACGGATCTGCGATTCACTCGCAAGGGAGACGACTGGGACGATGGGCAGAACACTTTGAGGAACAGTTTAACTGGCCTCCAGCCACGATTGCGTTGCCCGCTATCCAGTCGGACCCTGAATGGGACATAGAGACAGGCCCCCAACACTAGAAGAAGTTGAGAAAGCGGTAGGTAGCCTGAAACGAGGAAGGGCAGCAGGACCAGACGGACTACCTGCTGAGGTATACAAGAATGGTGGTAGAGTGCTCTTAGTCAGGTTAACGGAAGTGTTAGCCAGTATATGGGAATCAAATACGATCCCCTCCGACTGGTCTAAGTCACTCATCATCCCAGTCTTCAAGAAAGGCGAGAAGTCCTCTTGTGATAACCACAGAGGAATCATAGTATCCAAAATCCTAAGTTCTATAATTCTCCGACGCCTGAGTGGAGCTCGGGAACAGCAAGCCCGAGAAAACCAGGCAGGCTTTAGACCTGGCCGTGGATGTATCGACCAAATATTCACACTGCGCCAGGTCCTGGAACATAGGCATGCTTACAGACGCCCGACAATAGCTGTATTTCTCGACCTGAAGGCGGCATTTGACTCCGTTGATCGAGAAGTCTTATGGCAATGTCTGTCACTGAAAGGCGTGCCTAGTAAGTACATCACCTTATTGAAAGCTCTCTACTCGAACACTTGTGGGCATGTTAGAGCCTATGGTGAGTTGTCCAGGGAGCTATACTCATCAAGTGGTGTCCGTCAAGGATGCCCACTATCCCCATTCTTATTTAATTTTATCATAGATATTCTTATGGAGGTTTCCCTCTCGTCACCTAATTACACAGACGTTGACCCAATCACAGGTGAATTTTCTTTAGATCTAGAATATGCAGATGACATAGTCCTGTTAGGTGAAGACGCTGACAAGATGCAGAGTCTTCTGAACACTTTGAGTGGGAATTTGAGAATGTTTGGGATGCGATTTTCACCACCCAAATGCAAATTTTTGCTCCAGGACTGGTCTTCAGCGGTACCGCGGTTAACAATAGAGAGTGAAGTGGTTGAGTGTGTTGACCACTTCACTTACCTGGGAAGTAGGATCAACCCTGGTGGGTTAGTTGCCGATGAGATTTCTGCACGGATACAAAAGGCTCGATTGGCTTTTGCCAATTTGCGCCACCTATGGCGCCGCCGTGATATTCGTTTGTCTATTAAGGGTCGCGTGTACTGCACAGCAGTCCGCTCTGTTCTACTGTATGGCTGTGAAACATGGCCATTGAAAGTGGAAGATACAAAAGGCTTCAGGTGTTTGACCACCGTTGCCTTCGTAGTATAGGACGTATTCCGTGGTGTCACCATGTGAGTAATGCAGAAGTTAGGTGTAGAGTTTTGGGAGAAGAGGTAAGTCAGTTGACGAGGTTGTGAACCTTCATCGACTGAGATGGTTGGGACACGTACTACGTATGCCTAGTCACCGATTGCCTCGTCACACAATGTTGGCTGAGGTGGGTCAGGCTGGAAAAAGGCCCGAGGTGGCCAGACTAAAACATGGCACCAATGTATGAAGTCTCTGACTGTTGGTTTAAGCCATGTAGGACGATGCAGACTAGGTGGTTGGGGTCCACGGGACAAGAGGAACCAGTGGTTGGAGACCCTAGGTGATATGGCTCAGAACCGAAGTCAGTGGCGCAGATGTATACACACATTATCCTCATCTTAACAACGCTATACCGAATCTCACTATTTTGTCACTCCTCTTTCCTTTCTTCTCGTACTTTATATTTCTTTTGACTGCATTCACTTATCTTCATCCTTCACCTCACCTTTTTACTTGATGAACTGATGTGAGGTGTGGCAACTCGGACCGTTACGCAGTAACGCCTGGTCCTATGTTGATAATGATTGACTGATTTCCTACACAGTAGTACACGTGACTTTATTGGATTTCTGAATTGCAATATCCACTATACAGAACTATGATGCACAAAATTATCTTCATGGAAATATCAACTACGCTACAGCTTACAGACAATGCATAGTCAAACTACTCACCACATTCGTACAAACATCAATAATACCAGATGCAGAAATTTTATGGTTCTTTAGTGTGGTTTCAAAATCTCCAGAGAAACGATCCATTACAAGAAACCGAAGAGGCTTTTTATTCAAAACGACTGATCCACTGCTAACATACTTTGGAATACCAAGGTATTTAAGAGAATGTTTCACTTTCCATGAATTGACTTGTAAAGAGATAAAAAGAAAATGTACTACCACATGATCAATTCGAAAAATACTAACCTAATCTGACTTTTAGCATGTAAAAGATAAGAAGAAAGCGAACACATGATTCTTGATTAAACGGTAATTGACTTTCATAGAAATAAGACTCAGTTACGCTCACTGAAGATTTTGTGAATGGTTATTATAAACAGACATTCATATAAAAAGATATTTTTGAAATCCAACAAATCCGATATGCTAACTTCAACATAGCCAAACCCAAAGTTACAAACAACGAAATAATGCACATTTACAAAGTGTACAACAACGATGACACAAATGGAGCTGTAACCTAGTCATTTAGTTAGTCTACTATCTGCCACTTACTAAGGGGCTGAACAGTGTCAACTTTGTTTTGAACAGTCACATAGCACTGTTAACCATACATTTTGTACAATTCATCCCTGAGCGAAAATCCAAACACAGTTGATAACTTGGAAAATTTTGCTGCAAACAATACATTGTAATAATGACTTTCTATATAATAAACGGTTTTTAAATGCATCTATACTCATAAATATCACCCATTCACGATTATGCTTGTCAAACCGGCACACAGAAACTAGAAGAAGCAAATTATTAACTCTCCACCTGAGATAACGACAAAGCAATGAGCTTAGCTTATCGCATAGTGCAGTGTAATGAGATATCGAGATGCAAGTACCATTCACACACTTGAAAATCTGATACCAGTACAGTTTCGTTTTAAAATAATGCGACACGCACAATCAAAGTCTTCATAAGTCAACATCTTGAAGGTCTAGTCAAAACTAAGACAAATGGAAGCATTTATGAAACTGGTACTGTCTAGATGAATGATCTAAGTCAACTAGATCAGTGTGTATAATTGGACTTACATACCTTACATTTGACCTGCCTCTTTAATGTCGCTGGTAGGAAACGCTCTACTCATTCTTACAAAATGGAAGTTTTCCATTATGTCCAATTGGCATTGTACATCAAATGTACACCACTGATAATGAGTCTAGTCATCATATGAACCATCCATAGATATGTTTTAAGGATCTAACTAGCTAGTAACAGGTTTGAATACAGCTCTAGGCATCGATTTTTGGACAGTCAAGTAGAACCACTCAACACACACAGAAGGTAAGACTCATAGCTCGGTGAGAAGAGGAATCATATGCACTTTCATGCAGCAGAAAACGAGCTACATACTTTGTGAGGCTTAGTGATACTACCTGACTAACCGGTCCTCTGTAGGTAGTGCAGACTTTGAACCCGTGATCCATAGGTTGGAAGTCGATTGCCTAGACCATTGAGTTACAGTCCCATTATAGATAAGTGCACAGAGCTTCAAGCGGTTGCATTGGGCACTATGCATTACACTGCATCCATTTTTACATACCTCAGATAAAAATAGTGTGACCACTTGAAATAATGCTATGCAATCGCTGTCAAACATACGAAGAATGCGAAAAAGAGGGCATAAATTTCCCTAGTCCTCCCTATCTCCAATGGATCAGCCAGTTCTGTATTGAAGGTGATGATAGAAAGCATCTGACTGTTTATCTACGGGATTATGTACTCAGTTATGGAGGACACGATGCACCTCAAACGAAGTACTGAGTTATACACTATGAGCTACATCTATTGTGTACCTACGCCAAAATGTATTGCTTAGCTAACAACACCAATGAGTGGTGAGAACCGTTTATGAAGTTTCCTGTTACACCAAACAGATTGAACTTACACATCACTCCCCAGTCGAAATTATCAAAAAACATAAACCCTATAGATTGCTATGCAGCCTGTGCGGTAAAATACTGATTTTAAAGATCCAGACAATCAGAAGCGAAAGCTGTGATAATTCAGTCATTCTCATAAGTCAATAAGCGAAAAGAGACCACGATGCAAGGCCAATCTTACGACTATACAAAAGACGCACAAACACTCATCTCTTGAGTTCAAAGCAAGACAGTGCGACTTTCAGTACTCATCAGAGTAAGGCAGAAACAAGACGCCAGAGCTCAAAGACCGCCAAGTCTAGACACTTGGAAAGGAGTCACCATCAATCAAAATCGAGAAATCAATTCTCCTTAGCTTTGCGATTTGAACTGATTTCTGTAACGTATGTAGATCTGAGGGGAATAGGATACCATCATGCAAACGCAAAAATCAGTGCCAAGAAAATAATGTCATCTATCATATGGAGCTCAATGTCTCCGTTGAGGCACAAACCTACGCCACCATGCAACTCATTCGTGGTTGCCAGAAGCTCGTTAGCCATGACAGGTTGGAAAACAATGAAATAAGACACTTCTGTGCTTTTCTGAAACGGAACTTTAATCCCACGGATTTCCCTTGTCTAGATATTACTCAAACCTAAGCAAACAAACGACGATGGACCAACGCGCACACTTCCTCAAGTTGTACATAGGTTCGATGGAAATTGTTATTTTCATAAAGATGATGAACGGCAACATTCGCATTCTCATGAACAGAAGAATATACCGATGACGATGAGGATATTTAATCACAGGGAACTACAACTGTTACTACATACGGTCTTTATCGTTATTGCCAACCTCTTCGTCTAGTAAAAATCATTAGTGACCTGCATTACCAAAGGCAGTTCCAATCAGGATCATCTCACACTGTGTGCATTCAATTGGGCCAGATGCTTATGCCTTTGAGCATTAGTGCGCTGAATTATCATGACAAAAAAGAGACACTATATTTCAACGATGAAAGTATCCGTATAAGGTTGGATGCCAACTGGACGACACATTGGTTATCTTTCTGAATCCAATCACCCATCTATTCACACAAAAAGTATGCACTACTAAGAAGTAGAAACAGGCTATAATTTACGAGGATATGAGTCAACACACCTTCAGAAAAACAAAATGAAAGACCGATGAAGATAGTACCAAAAAAGCTAGTTAAGAAGCTCTGAATTATATACCCTAAAGCTTCATAAACATACTTGAGTCCTCTGAACATGCTCGCAAATAAAAATGCATTTCAGTAAAAAGTGGTCCATTTTCTTGTGGTTCCTAGACATAATGCTCTATATGAAATAGTAAACTTACTATCTTAACGACATAACGGTGGCTGTTTTCACCTTCGAGTTTAACTATATCCAACTTATAGAGACGATTAAAGAACGAATTATACCTGAGTAGATTCGTCCAAAACCACCTTGACCAATAGCACAGCCAGTGATCCACCTTCTCTTAAATGAATCAAGCAGTACTGTTCCAGAATCAACTGGTTCTGACAAGCTGTAACCAGCTGCCTTTACAACTCTACGTTTTCTAACAGACATGGCCGTGAAAAGGCAGACAGTAAACCGACAAGCGATCACCTGTCGCGAGACTAAATGATTACTTCGCACAACCGTAATCTTTCAACTGTAAACTTCCTTTGTTCTGATTGGTCAGAGCGATGTTACCCTCAAAAATCAAACGGCGCTACTTCCCAATCTTGTTAAATACCCGCTTTTGTTCTTGTGTCGTATTGACGAATTCGCTTAGCATTCGGGATTTGAAAAGTAGCGTAAAAATTTCTTCTGGATGGAATATTGTATCAGTAGACCTGGTAGTAGGATTTAGTCAGCTTGTGAGGTATCGAAGTTTACGAAAATGGCGAGTATGAAACTTGCATCAAAAGATTGCAACATATTAGTGAAATTCTTAAGTAATGAACTCGCCATTAAGTGTTGAGCAAACTGAGAGTTTGTACAACATTCGTGACTCGGACGTAAAGAAAGACGAAGATGATAACTTAGAGCCGGTATGTGAGTGCAGTATTTTGACTTAGCGGTAATTTTACACGATTCACGATGTCGCAAAGCAGCCGACAGCGATTACAGAAAGCACTATCATAATAAGCACTACATATACATAACAGATCTAAGTTCTTCGAGTGTCCTTTCAAAGATGTTGAGACTCGAAATATAGTGCACCTTCCTGACACTAAAATGCAACTGAAGCCAAAGTAAGAAGATTAAGTTGAACCGACTAAATATTAACCAAATAAACCTTTAGCTCACCTCCACATGCTTGAAGTGTTCTGAGTTACCCTTTATTGACCATACGTCCGAACAGGTCTCGGCGTCATTTTGTGCTCCGTTTCTGCTAATTAACATGCACTTTCTCGGAGTCCGTAGCTCAGCCGTATCAGCCAGATAAGTTGAACAAACTCTTTCCCCAAAATCAATTCCACATTTATTCGATTTAAATATATTGCCCTCTCAAGCTTGTTCCTAAATAACTCAGTCCTCTGATTTGTGTTTCGCTACCGGTACTTACACGTTAGGTAAAGTACTAATCTGGCAGGCACTAGAGGAGATCGGAGCTAGTAAGTTGCATAACAGCAACACACCCAGTCTCTTACAATTGATGAACCTGTGTGCCATTCTCTTACCATGTCCAGTACCCTGTTGATCCTCCGGTGATATATTTGTCCTGCGTTTTGCGCCTTATTATATCCCTTATCAGTGGCTGTTAACAGTGACTCTTCTGCTTAGATGGCCGTAAGTCTTCATCTCTGTGGGTTCTCACAAGAAAGCTGAATTTTCTTTGGAGCGTGTTTACTGGCAGAGAACCAGGTCAAACTTAGTTATCGCGGGTTCACCCGAACACATAACCGATGCGTCAGGCGTCTTAGATGATCCGGCATTGAATGTGTACGACCATCTCGAAGACGCTCTCATCAAACGTGTTGCACCTACTCGCCAACAGAAAGTCCAGGAACTTTTCAGTGATATGCATCTCGGTGATCGTAAGCGCGCGCAAATGGTTCGTCAAACGAAGCAGTCGGTTTCAGACTTCTAAATCGATGGGGCATTTCTCAAACAACTGTGATTGCAGAGACCGCACTGGAAGGTATGAGGAATCCTAGTTCCCTTCCATAATTCCGCCTTGATGAAGCTGGTGGAACTAGCTGACGGAGCAGTGGGTGCCATCAAGCCCAACACAGGCACTTCAGCCAAAATATCTACTAGCATTGACTCACATGAAGATCCCCGCCCCCTCTTAACTAGCCGGCGGTCGAGTTTTGACTTCGTAGCTCAAATCACTTTGTCGTACGAAGGGAATGTACACTATTGGGAAAGAAATGAGATCCAGTATTCCCTCTTACAGTTGCACGTCTCGCTCGCGGAGCCGATACGCCCGCTGTACTAAAAAAGATGTTCCAAACCGCGAGAATCCCAGCTCGCACCACAAAACGTTACGGCGCCAAAGCTGAAAGACGCGCTCAAGGCTAGACAATCAGAAAATGCGCCAGCCAGCACGTGATGGCGACTAACATCGTTGGCGACTCACTCCCTTATCAACTCGCCGGTGTCAAACCGACATTCTGGGGTGCGCTTCGTGGTAGATATCGGGGTGGAAGCTAGCGTCACCCCACCCACGACTGAAGAGCGTTTGCGGTCGACGTCCCCACAACTTCGCGCCGCCGATGGTTCGCCAATCCTGACCGACGGTCAACCATCTCTCAAGCTCAACCTTGGACTACGTTATTCTTCCCGCCGGGTTTTCACTATGGTTGATGTGACCACAAGCATTACAACTACGGATCTCTCGCAGCACTCTCAGCTGTTGGTAGATGCTGGTAAGCATGAGCTGATTGATCCTGTGGAAGCCTTCCCTCAGCCAAGCGCCCTCCATGGAGGATAATTCCAGCTCCTATGCATCCATTATTTAGTCCTTCTGGAGATCCCCAAGCCAAATCACTGTGCACCTTGTGTGGCTCCCAACGTCTCACGTCACATAGCTATGACTGGCCCACTAGTGTCCGCCAAACCACATTGGTTATCCCCAGGGAAACCGCGAGCCGTCAGGACCCGGAATGAAATCGTATTTCAGGTGAGAACAGTGAGACCATCCAACAGCCTATGGTCTTCGTGTTTGCATGTGGTACCCAAAGGCAATGCCATGGACTGGAGGCCATGTGGCGAACACCGGGGGCTCAAAGCCAAAGCGATCCCAGATCCTTATCCAGGTCAAACATACATAGTTTGGCCGCGTCCTTGAAAGGGTCGCCTATCCTCAGTAAGCATGACCTGAGTCATGTCTATTACCGGATCCCAGTTCATCCCGAAGATGTCCCAGAGGCAGCCGTCAGTGAACCTTCTGGTCTCCTTGAGTTCGTTCGCCTGGCCATCAGTCCACACAACGTGGCAAAAACCTTCCAAAGCGTCATTCATGATGTTTTTTGTGTGGATTAAACTTTGCCTATGCTTATCTGGACGGTATTCTAGTAGCTAGCCCAGACGAAAAGACTCATCGCGGTCACTTACAGCAGGTTTCCGCCCAACTGTTGGAACATTCGATTATAGTCAATCTGGGCAAGCGCCGAATTGGCATTCGTTCACTGGCTTCTCCGGGGCATGTAATCGACGAACATGGGACTCGCCCCCTACCCGAAAGGGTGTAGGCGATTCAAGACTTTCAGGCGCCAACGCTCCTCGACTCTCTGCGTACATTTCTTGACATGGTAATTTATTGCCAACACTTTATTCCTCGGTGTGAGCACATTCTAACCGCGCTGACAAACCTTCTCAAATGTAAGTGTAAAACTCTAAGCACGATCCCGGAAGCCCTGGAAGCATTGCAAAAGCCAAGAAAACCATAATAGACGCAACCATGTCGGCGCATCATGACATCAAACTTCTTCTCAGCACATTTGTTGGTCCTTCTAACAAACCTATTAGAGCTGCACTGCAGAAGCCCGAAGATGGCACCCGTGCACCCTCTAGTTTCTTCTCCGGGGAGCCGTTCACATGTGAAATGTGATACGTCACGTCTGTTTATGAACCGCTATGCAAGCCCCCTCCAGTATCGCGCCACTACACATAGGATTTCCGTTCCACACGAGCAAATCTACAGTTTCGTTGTTGCAGCCACCATTATGTTGAAAGACATCCCGACTAAATCCTGTCTCATACCATCGTACTTTACACACCGGCTGTTGCTGGACTTGTGGCGTCACACACTTCCCCAAAATCAATAGCCTAGGGTTCGACGACATTCAACGTTGATGCTGACCTTGATAGTTTAAGTGGACTCGCTAAGCTGAAGGCACCTGGTCAAGCATCCTCGCCATTGGGCACGCTGGCATGTTACGTTGCACTGCTCGTATTCGACTGTCTAGCCAGTTAGTTGGAACTCTTCGGTATCTTGGCACAACCACCCAAGTACACTATTCCATCCAACTACGCTATCGTGTTCTTCCCTGCTCTCGTATTCGTGGGCATATAACAAGTCCAAACGATCAGTGATTGGTCTTTGCGTCTGTCATATTCGCAGTCGGACAATTCCTAAAACTTGGTAAGTTTTGGTTACATTAATTCTGCTATGGTATCTCTAGTTTTGCGTCTTCTGTTTGATTGCACATACGATGATTGTGAACTCCATAGCTTTCATACTTGTTTGTAACCCTCATCTTTCCTCCCCACCTTGCCTCGCTGTAACACTTAACCTGATTTTTGCACACGGAACCGCGAAGTGTTGATTTCTTCCGTTATGCAATTTATATATGAACTTCGTCTTAACTAGTAATTCACGGAATATACGAATGTAATCTGCAAATATTCAAGATATGTGTCTGTTTCATTTGAGGTCCTCGTAAAGCATTTTTTATCCGGTCAAAACTACAAAAGTGGATACGTATAACGTTTCAACGAACTATATCGCCCGCATAGCGTCCCATGCAAAATGCCCTGCTTCTGTTTCAGAAGTAAGTTATCGTTATTATTATCATCATATTCACCACTAACTCTTTAGGAATTTCATGCAATGATTTTACGGCGACCACCTGTGATGGAAATGCATTTGTAGATACGCGTCTTATTCCCATTAAGTTAACGGTATATCAAAGTGCACCCATGGCGTGCCGTCAGCTCTCAGCTTCTGTGCCACGCTTGCGAAAGCAAGTGACGACAACCTCTCTCCGTGCATCCCTTTTATCACTCTATTTCCCATCTCTCTGCAGAATTTACCTTGAATTCGCCTTAACTCCTCCTCACTCTCCCTTTATTTCCCCCCACTCTCTTAGTTCTCCCTTTATTGTCACCTTGGGGACACTTGAGTATCCAGTGAAACTGTAGCCATGATACAGCGATGGTCTCCCAAGAATTGTTGGTGGTGGTGAATGAGAGATAACAGAAAGCAACACGAGGAAATGGAGCTGTTTGCCGAATAGAGACCTCAGTTTTCCTGAAAGTAACTCAGCCTTAATGCCAGATATTGATACTTCTGCGTGTATTTGTCGATAGTGTCCAATGTTCTGAAACAAATTTCTGAGTAACCTTCCGGGGCTTTTGAAGTGTCAGGAGGCTTTAGGTGTCCAGTATAGCTGATGCTAGCGATAAACAAGGGACTCTGTCTATCACGAGGCTTTCGTTGTAGGCTTACGTTTAATGAAAGTGCGATAAACGTTTGCTCGACAATCGGGAATGCTTGGGGTAAAATAGCCCGATGCATATGGCAGAT